CCGCCCCCTCGTCTAAGAGCAGTTTCGTAACCTTATTATAGCCTCCTAATAAGGCGGCCTATAGAGCGTTGCCGTAGTAGCCTCCCTACGCGTTAACACCCGCCCCCTTATCTAAGAGCAGTTTCGCAACCTTATTATAGCCTCTTAACGAGGCGGCCTGTAGAGTATTGCTATAGTAGCCTCCCTACGCGTTAACGCCCGCCCCCTTATCTAAGAGTAGCTTTACAACCTCGGTATAGCCTCTACCCGAGGCGGCCTATAGAGTATTGCCGTAGTAGCCGCCCTACGCGTTAACGTCCGCCCCCTTATATAAGAGTAGCTTCGCGACCTTGTTATAGCCTCCCGATAAAGCGGCCTATAGAGCGTTACCGTAGTCGCCGCCCTGCGCGTTAACATCCGCCCCCTTATCTAAGAGCAGCTTTATAGTCTCGAAGTGGCCTCGCTATAAGGCGGTATATAAAGCGTTGCCGTAGTAGCCGCCCTGCGCGTTAACGTCCGCCCCCTTATATAAGAGCAGCTTCGCGACCTCGTTATAGCCTCCCGATAAGGCGGCCTGTAGAGCGTTACCGTAGTAGCCGCCCTGCGCGTTGATATCCGCCCCCTCGCCTAAGAGCAGCTTCATAGTCTCGATATAGCCTCGTAATAAGGCGGCCTATAGAGCGTTGCCGTAGTTGCCGCCCTGCGCGTTAATATCCGCCCCCTCGTCTAAGAGTAGCTTCACAACCTCGTCATAGGCTTTATATAAGGCGGCCTGCAGAGCGTTATCGTAGTAGCCGCCCTGCGCGTTAACGTCCGCCCCCTCGTGTAAGAGTAGTCTTATAAGCTCGTCGTCGCTATTCTATAAGGCGGCCTGTAGAGTGTTACCGTAGTCGCCGTCCTGCGCGTTAACCTCCGCCCCCTTATTAAGCAGCTTTACAACCTTGACATGGCCTTCTTCCGAGGCGGCCCGCAGAGCGTTGCCGTACTTGCCGCTCTGCGCGTTAACGTCCGCCCCCTCGTCCAAGAGTAGCTTCACAGTCTCGACATTGCCTCTAACTGAGGCGGCATACAAAGCGTTACCGTAGTTGCCGCCCTGAGCGTGGATGTCGATGTCCGCACCCGCCTCCAAGAGCAGCTTTACAACCTCGTCGTGGCCTTCTTGAGCTGCCCATGTTAGCGGAGCCCTGCCCATACTATCTCGTACGTCGATGTTGATTTGACTTTTCTGTATCATCTTTGCTACAACCCTAACATGGCCATTCAGCGCGGCCAGATGCGCTGGCTTGAGACCATGTCGTGTCTCGTAAGGATAGGCAGTCTTCCAGAAGATTGACACAACCAAGTCTCGAACCGTTCGGTCTTGGCGTCATACAGCTCGAACATGCGGTTGAACAGGCCCTCGTCCGCGCCACCCATAGCCCGGGAATGCGCTGGCCAGTTTTCTGCAGAATACTCCAACAGGGGGAAGTCGTTGAAGCCGGCATCATCTTTCCCTAGTCTCTCGTGAAATTGGTCGTCTCGAATGTCAGAAAAAGATAGATACTGGATGCAAATGTGTGTCATGATGTGGTTGGACATCTGCGTGTGAAGCGAGTGCTTCCAGCGATCACGAGCCGAGTCTTGAACACTCCCCTTTGCAACTAGAAATTCTTTCGCCGTCTGGTGGATCAAGTAGACCCGGTTGTCGCTTACAAATACAAAGAGCCCACAAAGCTCTCGGATGCGTGACTTCAGATGGTCGCCATCGAGGTCAAGATCCTCGTGTCGTAGAGCACCGGGCGATTCCGTGGCCAGCTCGAACGCCACATCCATCTCCGAGAGCGTAAGCGGCCGTCGAGCGCCTACGACGATGTGAAGGAGGGTCTCGACCTCTTCCCGTCGACCGCGGCCGTGTATGTTGAGGATATTTTCATATGCGCCCTCCACCGTCGATGGGAGCGAGTCGATCTTCTTCAAAAAAGCTTTCTTGGTGCGCTTGCTGCTGTTGTCAAGCTCGTCCCATACAAGGTGGAGCCAGAGATAAGTCCGATGCGCTGTTGCCAGCAGCCTCGCTTGCAGTGCGTCTCGTACCTCCTGGTCAGGGTGAAGTTTGTCACCAGCTGCCTGTATCTTCTGCCGAATGACGAGGTTGATCTCGTCGCTGATGTCCGCGTTGCTCTCTTCACCAGCCAGCCGGATCGACGGAAGCTCGGAGGGGATGCCGCCAAATCCAGACTCAATATCCCGGTACGGGCGACTGGTCACGACGAATTTCAGCTGGAACCTCCGCGCTGATGTTGAGCTATGCCGGGCATAAAAGTCTGTCAACATCTGGATGAGCTTCCTCCTATCTTCTCTTCGACATTCGTCCAGCGCATCGAAAACGCACGTAACAGCTCCGGCAGACTCGTCCGTAGCTGCAGCCAGAAGGATCCGCCACAGCTCGTCCACCTCACTCTGCAACTTAGTGCCATTCTTCTCAAAGGCGCTAGCGGCGTGGCGGAGAAGCTGAGGTTGGCATCCTAAAAGTTGGTGGAGCACAGCACACAGGGCCGTCGCAAGGCCGTCTTGTTCTTCGTTGTCCTTGAAGAAGAAGTAGCACACCGTATGGTCACCGGCGCTCGGAAGGTCTTTGTCGATGAGAGATTTCGCCAGCACCGACTTGCCGCAACCGGGGTCGGCTGAGATCCAGAGGAGGTCGTTATGAGCACTCTGTTGCCACTTCTTGTACTGCGGATGGTCCTTGACCCACTTGCATGTGCCTGGGACTCGGTCCGGGTTGATGTTCTTGAAGTCTTCGTACTTGGACGTTTTGAAAACGCGGTGACATTCGACCTGTTTCTCGTTCTCATATCTGACATCTTGCTTGCGTGTCTGTTGTGAGATCTCGTTCACATTCAACACATTGTCTTGAAGTAAGGGTTCTGTTTAGTAATCAGTCAAGTTTTCCGTGTTGACACACCTCCATTAAATTAGCCGGTCCTCAGAATCGTCTACAACTCACCCAAGACAAGTTGGATAGGCTTCTCCGCTTCGACCCTGCTGGGCGGTATCTGCTGCAGCAGGTCCTTTGCATACGCTGCCGCCACCATGGCCGCATACCCCTGCCATTCCTTGTTCTTGTGTGAGTCGGCGTAGTCGCATATGCCACGGATCACCAGGCACGGGAAGTGGTTCATTAGGCCGGCCGCCTCCATCTCGAAGCAGAGGACGTCCTTTTCCGCCGCCAGCTTATCGCGGATCCGCACATCCTTCACCAGTTGGTTCGCGCTGGCGATCAATCCGTAGTGGACTGCTGGGTCATCCTGATGCTCGCCGCGCTTCCTCCATTCTACCAGATGCTCTGGGTCGCTGCTGCACACGGCCTTGCATCCTTCCGCAGAGTTCGGATAAACAACCTCGGATTTGTAGAGCCTGTCGCTTTGAGGATCTGGGCGCTGATGATCCTCCCTCAGCCGCGGCCACCTTTATAGAGCTTCTTCGATGCTGGCGTTGAGCTGATGACCCTTCCTCTTATATTTGCTCTTTAACGCGCTGACCGCCGTGCGGAGGGCTATGGGCGGCTGGTTAAGAAAGTCCGTGTGCTAGAAGGAGACGTCCTGATTCTGGACGGCCTTGCCGTAGTTATACTAGAACACGCCACCTCTACCCCCGTCGCGATTACTAATAATACTATCGTTAAGGCGTATACCGTGCTTTAAGCTAGGCGCGCCGCCGCCGATACCGATTATTAGCCCGATATATATATTAGGAAAACTATATAGTATATCCTAGGCGATTATAGCCGCTAAGCTAGTACTATACTTATTATCGGGTAGGATAGCGATAATAATATTATAATAGTTAATCCTACCTAGTATATAGTTATTATTATTATACTTTACGATTAGGGGAATATCGTTATACTCCTCGTTAATAAAGGCTTAGGCGGTATCGAACTTAAAAAAAAGGGCGTAAATCTAGCTAATAGTGTATTATTACGGGTCTAATATAGCTAATAGTTATTCTAGACTAGCGCTAAGGATCTAGGAGAAGCGGCTAATAAGCTAGAGTCGTTTTAGAGGAGAAATAAGCGCGACCTAAGTTAAGTACGCGGGGTATAGCCGAAGGTATTAGACTTATAGGCCCTATTCTTAGTCTTACTCTTATTCTCCTATAAGGTTAGGTTCTAGTTATCCTTATATAGACCTTGTCTTCGGGTTAACCGGAGTTTATATATTATCCGAATCCGGCTATTTAAGTCTAGTATATAAGGTATACCTAGCGCTAGGTCGTAAGCAGCCCTTTCCTAACTATATTCGATATAATTAGGTACTACTCGGCTAGCTATACTATTCGTATCGTATTGCCCTGCTTCTAGTATCCGGAAGCGCGCGGGATCCGATATTAAGGTAAGTCCCGGCTTAGGGGCGGCGGCGGACGGTGATAGGCGGGTATTAGTATCGGATGTATTATTTACGCTATTTCGTGATAGCGCGTTTTATTAAATCGAATCGGCGTATTAGCGGACTATAGTTAGTAGCGGTTTATAATAAGGAGAGTATCGGTATAGAAGTTAATAGGAAAGGAGGTAGATAGTCTTAGAGAAAGAGAGGATTAGGTTCCTATATACTAATACGGCTCCGCTTTTTTATATTGGTATATAGTCTTATTCTAGAAGGAAGTCTATCGAACTAGGAATATCGAACTAGGAATCGACACCGTTAATTCTCGGCAAAAGGCGGAGTATAAGTAACGTGCTAACCCCTGGGGCTATATAACTACGGTCGTTATTGCTGCAGCCACTTCACGATATCAGTACTAAAGCCAGAGCGTCGGCGTCTGCTAGAACCCGGGGCGCAGGGGTACACTCCGAAAAGAGGGCGGCACAGGACGCTAAAGCAGGTGTCCTAGGCGTCTCGGCTAAGGTCTTTGGGCCGCTCACAGGCGACGCGTTAGTCGTGGCTGTCTGGCCCTAGCAGCAAGAGCAAGCTAGGCTGAGTGGACAAGCCCATGTACTTCCAGGCAGGGCAGCGAGAGGATAGGGCCTGGCGGACGCGCATTAGCAGGGAACACGCATGGGATGCCAAGTCGTGCTGGGCGTGACATCCTCAGGCCCGCCCTCACATAAGTCCCTGGCCCGAGCGTGCTGGCCTGTCTGTCGACGAACGTAGCGCGGACGTACCCTGCACAACATTTGGCGGTCCCAGATTGTGCGAGGTCTGTGCTGCTTGTTTGCGCATCTGGTCTCTCATGGATTCGCGCTGCTTCGCGGTATGGGGCCGCGTCCGTGTCGCCGGCCCGGCGCGGAGCCAGTGACTTGGATGTACGGGATCGTGCGGGTCGACACGGACCTCGGCCATGGCAGTCGACGTGGCAGAGTACCACTGATGGGGAAAAAATCAATTCTAGACGGCGAGCCCGTCACCGGCCCAGCTCAGGTACACGTTTTGCTTCCGATCTACATACTGGACCATCCATCCTCGTCCGCCCATCAGCTGCAAGTCCCGGTCTCACAAAGAGGCAGCGTTCCGGTACTCCTCCTCCGTTGCAGGAGCCTCCATGTCATCCTCATCCGGCCAGCCGCTATCGAACTCATAACTCTCCAAAAGGACCTTCACAGTGCCAAGCCCTCTGAAGATGGGGAGCAAGGGAGCAAGGGATGGTGTGTCTTCCCACTGCCCCAGTTCCTCGACGAGGATCATCTGAATGTCATCCAGCTGTGCTCCGTAGTGTTTCTGGACCTCCTTCAGATGCTCCGGTTCAATCTCGTTCGGGAGGCAGAGAACATCGGATCGAGGATCCAAGTAGAATGCAGCGCTCGGCAACATCGGATGCTGCAGGAGCCGGTGCCTCTGTAAGAAGCGCATCCTTGATTCACGAACTTTTTTGTGTTGGCCTGTGCTCTAGTTCCAGAAGGAAGTCTGCCGTTATTCTCGGCAAAAGGCGGCGTACAAGCAACGTGCTGACCGCTGGGGCCAAGTGACTGCGGTCGTTGTTGCTACATCCACTTCACGACATCAGCACTGAAGCCAGAACATCGGCGTCGCAGGAATTCAGGGCCCAGGGTACACTCAGAAAGAGGCGGCAAGGACGCTGAAGAAGGTGACCAGGCGTCGCTGCTGAGGTCTTTGGACCACTCATCAGCGGGGTGTCTGTCGTGATTCTCTGGGCTTGATGCTCCTCGCCTCAAAGAGCTTGCTGCGCTATGTGATCAACATCTCCCGTCCGTCTATACCAACATCCACGTCCTCTACGGTATGAACGCCGCTGGACGATGCTTGCTCGGCCGCGTGGCGAAGGACCGCCAGACATTGTTCCCGGCCGCGGGACTCGCTCACTAGGTTGTCAGTAAACCCACCGCGCCGAGGCACCAGAGCGGCGCTCGGATACTTACTGATGGTGGCCCAGGATCCCGAAGTCGCACGAGATGAGAACGAGACCGAACGTGATGACGGTCGCTAGCCCAGCTCTGTTCGACCCTCTCGACTGTTTGTGCTGGCTGCAAGCTGGTGAAGGGAAGCTTTGTTGGTTGTGTTCGCCGCATGTTTGCGGGATCAAGCCAGGGGCAGCCGAATGCTCATTCGTGCCCGCTCGACCGCCAGCTCGATGCCTAAGCCAGTTGGCGCTAGCCCGGCTCAAGGCCAGCGGGGCTCGCCCAACGACAACGCTTCCGGGCGCTCTTGTCCAGGTATAACTTTGGACATCCAGGGCCCTTGTTATTGAGTTTTGCACCTTCCCCTCCGCTCGCTTTGGTTCCTGTTGCACGCTTCCGTCCACAAAAGAATGGCCCAGGAACAACCCCCGCCGGCCCAGTCACCTCCGACCCAGACCAGCCCATGGTCGCCGGACCTGGCAGGACAGGAGCCTCTACAGGTCGACAACGTGAGTATTTCCTCAACCGAGTGCTTACTGGTCTCCAATCGCTGAGATTGACCAACTACTTTCTTTAGAACCTTGAAGACGACGATGCCTATGCTGCTTCGTGAGTCTGGTCCCGACAGAGTGTGCTGATGCATGCCTGACAACTTCCAGAGAGGCATCCGCCAGCTTCGTCTCCTCGATCAACTCCAGTGTTTTTCGCTACAAGTATGTCCATCCGCAGATCCGGGTACCCGACAAGGGGTTCTCTGATTGATCGCCACTGACCTATGTAGGTACGAGGTTCGTGTCGGGAAGATTGAACATGATTCTCTCAGAGTCTATAACTAACGCGAAGCATAGAACGGCCGCCGTTATCATGCTTTCCGGGAGGGTGCATATCTAGTGGTAAGCTCTCAGCCAACACAACGGGGCGCTTTATGCTTAAGCGCCCGGATGGCCATCGCGGCAGCTAATCTGCGTTCGTACGACTTGGAAGCCAAACGACGACGAAGAGCAGGACCGCATGGACCTGGCCCACCACATCTACGGTCTTCTCCTTGGTGGAGAGCTCCATCTCACCCCAATCCCTGACAAACCGCAGCGCGTCCTCGACCTGGGCACCGGCACCGGCATCTGGGCCATGGACTTTGCAGAGTCAGACTCCTTCACGAAGCCCTTGACGGTGAAATGGGTCCTGACACCTGACGTGCAGCCAATACCCCTCCGCAGAAGTCATCGGCACTGATCTGAGCCCGATTCAGCCCAAGTGGTACGGCATTCTCGCATTGTACGTCTTGGTCCAGCGACGCTCACGGAAACAGGACACCGCCCAACTGCACATTCGAGGTCGATGATTTTGAACAGGATTGGGTCTACCGCAAGCAGTTTGACTACATCCACGCCCGTGAGCTGGGAGGATGCATCGCCGACGACGAGAGGCTCTTCCGCCGAGTTTTCGAGCATTTGGCCCCTGGCGGCTATCTGGAGATGCAAGCCGTGTACCCTCGCTTCCTCTCCGACGACGATACAGACAAGCTGGCGAAGGACGCTCAGTACTGGATGACCAACATCTGCGAGGGTGCGGCCAAGTTCGGTAAGCCGCTCGACTCAGTGCCCCAGTGGCTGGACAAGATGCAGGCCGCCGGATTCGTCGAGGTCAAGCAGGAGATTCGCAAGGTTCGTCCTCAATCTACGCGCATGCGCGGTGTCTGATTTCCTGGAACATCGGTGCTCAGAAACACCCAGATCCCGTTTGGCAGCTGGCCGAAAGACCCGACGCTCAAGGAGATCGGCAGGCACTCGATCATCCAGGAGCAGCAACTCATCGACTCGTACACACCCGCCATCTTCTCCCGTGTGCTTGGATGGGGTCAGACGGAGATCCAGGTCCTCATGGCCAGGGTGAAGAACGACCTCGAACCCGGCCATCCATCTCTATGTTCCCACCTATTTCATATGGGGCAAGAAGCCAGAGGAGTGAGCGCTCCGCTTGGCGTCATGGACGGTTCGTAGTGATTCAATCCCATAGTCTGATTCCGACGACCCCTTTGGCTACTGTGTCTCGTAATTATCGATGCATGTGTTACTATTGTCCTCGGAAAGAACCCACCGACGTCGTCGACGATCTTGCAACCATAGGCTTACATCGCCACCCTGTGGTCAGACATTGACGAGGGTAAAATTGCAGCGCTTTGCTCAGTCTCCCCATGATTGCCTGACAGAAGACGGCCAGGGTACTGGACGATTCGAGGATAATGTGGCGTGATGCCTGTCTACTGGACGGTTCTGGCTGTGCCTGCAAGGAATGCGAGGCTTCGTGTTGTGCCTGGACTGCTATGGCAGGCGACGGTCATCAAGAATCTGTTTGCCGCGACGGAAGCTGTACACCAGAAGCTGGGCGATATCGGTCCAGAGCTGCAGGCAGCGCACGGGCCATAAGCACCATTCGTGGTGCTTATGGCCTGTGCGTCCACGTCCGGTCTCCATGGGCACAGTGAGCTGCTCCCTATCCTTAACTTCACGCAGGGCTTCTACGGCCAATACCCATCGCCCGGCTCGTCTTCTCGGAAGAAGACTTGCATTTGGGCACCTAGAGGCCGTGAGAAGCCTGAAGCAACTGCTCACAGCCGCCATGCGAACCTGACATACGGCAGGGCAACCTCGTGGGATGAGCCTGCCTGTTTCCGTCAATAGAGTCAGAAGCATCATCGGCAACGCCAACGACGTCGGGGTCCTGGCTTGATGATTAGTTCTCATAGTCCCGCCCTAGACAATTGGATTCACCTTCGGTTGCAGACAGATGCGACCCAACTCAGATGCTATGGCATAAAGAAGGAAGATACGCACCGCCTCAATGGGCTCCTGGGCTGCGGACATGTTGGGTAGCGTATCGGCTTTCTGATGAAGTATGGATGAAGTACGAATTAAACGGAAGGGTTACCGATCGATCTGCCTTTCATATGATGGGTGTTGAGGTGAAAGGGGCGGGAACGGGGCGAAACAAAAAACGCATCTGTGACAAGGGAGAAAAAAGAGGCGGGGCGCAAACAGGAGGGGTACGTAGTCTCGGAGGGATGACAAGCTCATCCGGCAAATTAGCCACCCTCCATCCCTATCGCGAGACCAGACAGGTGTCAGACGCTGATGCAGGACTACGGCGCCATCTACCCCGCCGTCAGACTGGCAGTGATGGCCACCTTTACCCGCTGGAGGGGGAGCGGGGCCGTGACAGCAGCTTCATTGATGACAATAGCCATTCTGGAAACTGCAGTCAAAATCTGCAACGCCCCCGGTGCCATTTCGTTGCTCAGAGGCGAAGACAACATGAAGTTCCAGAGCAAGACTCTTTGCGGAGAAGTCCCGTCTGCCGTCATGGCGATTCCGTAAAGCCATCAAAGAGAGCTGCTGCTTAGCTTTCCCAGTCCATCTCGTCCTCCTCACCTAACGTCTCACCCTCCGAAGACCATACGTCACACCTCGAATCCACCGGTTCATAGCTTACGGATGAACTCAATGCCTTACTTTCATCCTGGGGTCCCAGCAAAACAGAGCATTCTCGGTGTACCTGCAGTATGATCTTGCTCTCATCGCGATGAAGCGACACCGACATGCTCGTGCTGGCCTGCTTCAGCAACAGTTATACACCGGGCAAAGGTCTTACCTACGTGACATGGCCGCCGGGAATCGCACGTGACTCGGCCCCCTGTTGCTGTTTGTGTGCCAGCGACCGGCGGAAGCGAGCAGCACCCAGGAAGCGCCACAGCGATCTTCGACCAACTGAGCTTCTGGCCCAAAAGCCGAAGAAGCGTCGCATCCTCCTCTGGTCGCCATCTACTTCCCGGCTGAGGGGTGGCAGTTCGAGCAGATGCGTGAGCGTCGGAACTAGGAGCCATCGTCTTGGGGTCCGACAGCATGAAGTGTCGTGCTCGTGTCAGCGCCAGGTCAATCCCATTCCACATGTGCAGAGGCCATCTGTTTTGTAGTTGCTGGCGGCCTCTGCTCTTGCCTTATAGAACCTCGTATGATCTGCTCTGGTGTTGGGGTATTTTTAGCTGAGACAAACCCATCCTCATGGCTTTGGCCCGAAAGTGTCCTATGCATGTTCAGTTTCGTACGTCCACATATAAAAGAAACCCCTCCGGTTGTGCCTGATTCAATTATGTCCTGTTGGGCCTACCGCCTCCATCATGCTTCTGCTTGCCCTACTCACCGCCATCCCCAGAGTCCTGGGCTGGGACGTCCAGCTAGGCGGCCAAACCGTCAACTTCCAGCCTGCAAGCGGGAACAATCAGCGGCATCGGCGATGTTGAGTTCCTACCAGACTGTTCCCCCGAGTCAGCGATAACACCTCCTATCACGATCACTACCGATGCCGCGCCTGCTCCTCCCTCCACCGAGACCAATCCCCGCTTGTCGACGCTGCTTCTCGACTCCACCGAAATAGCAACCCACACTGTTGTGCAGAAGGTCACCAAGACTGTTGTAGTGACTATCACCGACCAGTCTACATATACAACACCAACCACTTCCCCCTCAACATCCCAGTCGTGGGCATGGACGCTACCCCGTGGCACGGCGCCCACGGCAGGGACAACTGACACCAACTCGTCATTCACTGTCGGTCTCCCATCATCCCCGTCATTCGTCAGCGAGTCAGCTCTCGCTTCGGGGAATGCCCTGGTCCAGCAGGTCTGGGTGCCTTTTGTTGTCATGCTTGCTGTCGGCTTTGGTCCGTCCTGTTTCTAGATAGCTACATTCTCAACCTGCATTCAATCTCTCAGTCTCGTCCGCTTGCCGCCCCCGTCCTGATCCACGCTGTTTCTCCTCTTTGTCCCCCTTGCCCCCGATGACTCGTCTACCTTCACCAATCCCCCGGAAGTCCATGCCGTCCTAATCAGGCCCAAGGCATCAGTTCTCAGCTGCTGGGCCTCCTCAGCCTATACTGTCCCCGCCGGAACTGAACGGTTCATCATGCGATGCCGAGCGAATAACACAACTAAAGGACCGCAGCTATGGCCATCACTTTGGCGTTGAGCACTCTAAAAATTCGTTAGTTTGCTGGCCTCCCGCAAATGGCCAAGCACCAACCTTTGACGTGAACTTCATGTCTGGGAACTGCTCCTTACAGGCCGCCTGTTATTCCGTCAGTGATGAGTTGGGGCGCTCCCGGGTCGACATCTCACCTCAAGCTGTGCGTGACCATCTCCCAGTGAGTCGTAGTGGTAGATCGAATCGTCACTTTGGTTGATCTCCAGGAGGGTAAAATGGTTGCCACGTAGAAGAATAGGAAAGAAACAAACAAGGCGTGTTTCTCCTTCCTCTGCATCGTTCCATTCTTTGATCTTTCGCGCAGCCATCTCGAAAGGCCTGTGTTATACCGTAGACGGCCCGGTGTCCCGATATAAAGGAATAGAGAAGCTAACCCGAATATATGACCGCTTCTGAGCCAGATAAAGATAGAGCAGAACGAGTTGGTCGTTAAACCATTGTGAGGATTACAGCCGACTAAGAGTCTCGATTTCGGCCGTGAACCCACCACGACTCGTCCGTAACTTTCCACTGGGTGAAGACCTTGCTATCTTACGCTAGAGAGCCGCGATATCCTTGGTGAGTTTGTCAGCGATGTCTGGAAGCGTAGGAAGGGCATCTATATAGCCGCGAGTCTTAAGGTGATGTCTGAAGAGGCTCGGAGACGTCTGCCCCTTCTCCATAAGCAGATCCATCTGTTCTGTCAAGCATTCCAGGATAAACATCTTGTCTTCTGACTCTTTGATGTGCTTGATTAGGATATCCAAGGACTCTTTATCAGTCTTTCCCAGGCTCCTACGATTGATCAGCGGCATGTTGTAGTTGGCAGTAGGGAATCTTTACCATGCGTCTATAAAGAGAATGCCATATCCAAGCTCGTCAACGAGATGACCCATTTCCTACCGCGGGCGAGGTTCGTGTTAAGGCTTCGTCGGGACATAGTCTGCTCTGCAGCGTTATCCCTGCACATCTTAAGAAAGTCTCCATTAACCTGCTCGGCCGCCGACTTTGGCGATGAATCCAGTAGCTCTGTTTGGCTGCGATGCCATTTAGCAAACCCGATGCTTGACAGGACAAGGTCCAAGGTCCGTTTCTTGCGTCCACTTATAGCAGAGTCCGAAAAATGCTTCCACTGAGTCCTGTCAGACCAACCAAGGCCCGGGTCCTGGGTTTCTTTTAATGCATCGTATATGGCCTTATACATCCCGGGCTTCGCCTCTAGTTGTCGGAACTTATAAACCTTCTGAATACTGTTCTTGGCGAATTCAAAAATCTCTTAGCGGGCCAGTCGGGGGATCGGAGGGTGACTGATCTCCTCGTTAGGCTGATTGTCGGCTTCCAATACTCCGCTTAGCACCCTTATAGGGGTCTCTTAAGGTGTTATTAGCCCGTTGAAAGAAGGATTATCAGAGGAGTCCAGTGGTTCAATAGCGTCTTAGGCCTGAGGGGTTACTGTAACATGTTTATCTGAGGATGAATCGTTAATTGTCTCCTGGCCCTGGGTTATCGCTGGTTCAGAGCCCTTATCAGCGGGTGAGTCTTTGATAACCTCCTGGTCCCGGATTGATACAGGCCTCGGGCCATCGGAGGGTGAATCGCCAACGGTCTCGTCGTTGTCTGGCATACCAAGCTCCCGCGGCTCGATCAAGCTCGAAGCCATTGGGGTTGACAAGTCCAGATGGCTGAGGTTTGTGCCAACTGACCCCCCCCCCCTGGGTAGTTCGATAGATAGGCCAGAAATTACTGATGATGGGCCATTGGAAATCCATCCGAAGCCACTTATCTGACCCAGAAACAGGCCAGGCGACGCGCCCATGACCGAATCCCCCCCAACAAGCGTAGGCGATTAGGATCCGTTGGGGCTTGGAGTCGTGGGCGGATCCTGTAACTCGAGTTGTGAAATGGAAACAGGCTCGGTTCTCTCCTCTCCATCCTCACGGTCTGAGGCGGATATCTCGAAGAGTGACGGCTCGGCTCGGGATGCCAGAGCGGTTCGCTGGTTGTCCGTAGAACCTCTGGTTAGGGCGCTAATGCCTACTTCTCCGTCGGTGTTCTCGATAACCTGAAAGTCTGCCGCTAGCGTGGACTCCCGTGATCGAGGGAACGTCCCAAGGATCCTTAGAGAGGGTTCGGGGCGGACATCTTAGGGCTCGACAGACAAAGCAAGGGGTGTATAGATACCATCCATGCCTATTGACTCCTCTTTGCAGCACTGATAGAGCTCCTAAAAGAACTTTCGAAGTAGCTGCTGCTCTTCTAAAGGGAGCGCCTTAATAAGGGTTTTCAGCTGCTCTGTGCCACCTGTGGTACGCGTAGCGTCGTATAGCTCGCTAATAAGCATAGGAGGCCGAAGATAACGGACGATGGCTTTGGCGGCATCTTCGCTTGTCTGCTAAGGGCTCAGGGGTTCGATTGAAGGACGGGCGGGGATGATGGAGACGACAGGCGTTTTGGCTGGTGTGGTCACCATGATGGAGGGCAGAGAAGTGGAAGAGATATGACAGTATGTGAATGTCGCCAAGTCAAGTGCAGTTGATGGCTGAGATTCAAGGGGAGCCCTGGGCGGGACGCCCTCCTACTTATACCTGAGAGACCCTCATGAGCCAACGCCCGACCCCCCTTCCCCCTCCTTCCTGGGATGTTGCGTCTCTTCGGCTGCCTCTCCCTGCCGTGCTCCATGACGTGACTTCCTGGGAAGTTACCCCTCCTCGGTTACCTCTTCATACCGCGCTCAGTCCCCAAGTCTTCTCGATGAAACTTGCCAACACCAACTTCAGCTCGCGGCGCAGCATCCTCGAGGGTGATGGTGGGCTCCTCGGGGCAGGTCCAGCGTCATGATTGGACCTGGATCTGCCAAGATGAACGCAAAGAGCAGGAGAATCTGCCTTTCCTGTGACGTGGTGAGCAAGATGCCTTGTCTGTGGCTATCGCGGGAGGGTGTGCTTCATGCTCGTCACAAGTTGATAGTGATGCCATACTTCTGCCGAGGGTTGCGTCTCCTGATAGGGGCAAGAAGCAGGCGCCTGTCTTCGGACGAAGGGATCCGACAGTCAAATCATGGACTCCTCAGGAGGCCTCGTTCGGATGGCCAACCTGCCTCGTTGACCTGCTGCAAGCTGGAGTCCGTAACCCATGGCTCCAATTGGCACCTATCATGGCCAAGTCGCAGGGCGTCACAACGTTGCAGCTGAGCCAGGAGTCGTCACCAACCGTCTGGTGTGCTTAAAGGGGTAAGAGGAAGCGAGGAACGGTTGGGACCGGGAGGCCCTGTGAGGTATCAGCGCTTCTCCAGGAAGGGGTGGAGTGGAACCAAGGCAACCCGACAAAGCCTTGCCATCATACCCTGATAGATGCAAGGGTGATGAGAGGCCTCAAAGGTTCAGGAGGGGGAGATATCTCTAGCGGCTTGGACTGAGCATGGATTCTACCTCCTCCCCAGTACCTGAAGCAGCTGGCATGCCTTGTGGTCGAGTCTCGTCGCATGTTAGTAAGGAGTCGTCAGTGACTGACGGGCTGTGCTCAAACAGGTAAATTGTAGCGAGAAGAACCATATGGGAGGTCCGTACTCCAAAGATCACGAGGTCCATCATGGTGCATGACTAAGATGAACATTCCCTGTGGGCTTTTCGTCAAGGATTGGCTGCGCAATCCGAAAGTGAAGTCGAGAGGCCAGGGAGGAGACGGCAGACCCGAGGGCAAGACGATCACGAGCATATCTCGGTGGCGGCGAAGCAAGCTTCTCCGCCGCGCCCGGGACCCGGTAGCACAGTGGGAGTCAAGGGCTGCCCGAGAGTCGAATATACCAGCACTTACGCGGCCATGAATCCTCCATGCCATCGTCGATGTTTGCGAGGTTCCACTTGCCGATCTCCTTGTAGTATGGGTCCTTGGCCCAGGCGTTGAGCGGCCACTTGTACTTACGCTCGGTGACATTCTTGAAGCCCGCCTTCTCCATAAGCGACTTGTACGTGGACGCGACGGTGAGGGGTCTGCCTAGGGCCTCGCTGGCCTTGACGAAGTTCTGGCCCAGTTGGTTGACATACGAGTCCTTCTTGAGGGTGCCGTCGTCGCTCTCGTAGGGGAGCCGCATGTCCTGCATCTCAAAGTGACCGCCGGGCTCAAGGGAGCTAGCGAGGAATTAGCTGGCTCACCATAGTCAGGCCTGTGTGGAGGGAGCGCATACTTGTATGCCTTATTGATGAAGGCTTCGTAGTCGGTGAAGCTACCAGTCATGACGCGGCTGATGATGAAATCAAAGGGCTCCGACCAGGTCCATTCCTTCTCGAGGTCGTCGGCTTCGAAGGCGCAGTTGGGCGGGACCCTAGGCGGTGGATGTAGCGTCAGCGGCGCGCGGCTCGTTATGAGAAGGCCGAGAGAGACTCACATCGAAGGCTGGATGGGGCTCAGATCAACGCCGATGACCTAAAACAGGTGTCAGAAGACACTTAGTCCGTGGTTTATGTCAGAAGTAGCTATACCGTTGACTCGGGATGCAAGTCAGCTGCATGAGGCACTCGTCAGTGATGAGCCGAGGCTGGAGCATAGAGGGAGCATGACCATATTCAATAGCCCAGATGCCGGTGCCGGTGCCGACGTCCAGGGCCCTTTTAGCGCCTTTCTCGCCCTTGGGGGAAAGGCAGAGCGCGCCGTCCAGCGTCAAGACCCAAATGTAATGTTGGAGGTCTGCAGCGACGAGCTGGTCAGTCTGTCAAGTTGTTCAGGTCAAAGTGGTTGAGGGGAGGGCCGACAAGGGTGTGCCGATTAGCGGGGGGTACACTTCTCGCCAAGTCGGTCATTCTCGGCATCGTCGTTCGGATAAGCATATTCTGTGCGAGGTTTAGTATTCAGATTGGAGCTACCGCCTCACTACGGCCATTCCGAGCGCCAGCTCATGAGAGCTGAGGGATAGAGCATGGCCTGAGCTGAGACACGGAAGGTGACCGGACGCACTGCCAGAACTAAGACCGTGGTAGGTCCGTCCATTCTCGACCTGGAACTTCCTGACGCTCGAACGGAGCGAGGTCAGGGAACTCGAGGGCAACACATGATCAGCGACGTTTTGTGAATTGCCGAATTAGATGCCCAGTGCGCGGGCCCCTACCATCGAGAAGGTCTCGTCCAGGTCATCGTTGGGGTCCTGAGCCTCATCGGCCGCCTTCACCGAGGCGCAGTCAGGTCAGTCACTATGCTCAAGAAAGACAATCGATACTAGCAGAAGAGCGCATCTTAACACACAATGACTACAGCTTCGTTCGTGGACTCGGCCATGGTGACGGGTAGGACGCTACGGGGGATGGTTAGTGAGTGGTGCAAGACGCAGTGTGCGGCCTGCTAGTGCGGTCGATTTATGTATTTTACTTTGCGTTACGCCCGCATTGCTAGGGTTTAGGGAACTATCGGATAAGTACATGACTCGTTTCTTATTACGTCCTCTTGGTGCTGGTCCAATTCTCGACACGGCGGCGACAGGTTGGCAGTCTGGTCAGGCTGATACCTCCGATGACCGTCAACAATACGCCAGCCTTGAATAAACAACCGCATCAAGATGATGAACTGAATGTGAGCCAATTGGACCAATAGTGGCGTGCACACAAGCCACGATGCGTCGAGGATGGGAGGTTCGAGAGTTAGATTGATGGGATTAGGATGGCGGGGTACCTGACAAGTCTGTATGGAGCTTACTCGCCAACCCGGACTTGGCAGTCACGGTCTGCGCAGCCGCCAATGGGACGCACGCTGCCCAAGCCGGCGCTGGTCAGGCATCGGACCAGCAGCAACATCAGGCTGTGTCAGGCTGTGACTTGGCCATCTCAGCTGATGCCCGATTCTACAACGAGGATGGAGACCGCAAGCTTTGTCGTCGGCTTGGCTGGGCTCGCCGGCCTACTCAGCTCCTGCCTGGAGGTCAAAGAGCGGGCGGATCAATACAGATCATTCACACGCGACTCTGCAGCCCTGGACGTCCTATTCAGCGCTACAAAGGTTCGCCTCGAGAAATGGGACCGCGATGTAGGCTTCTGCGGCGGGGAACTATCCACCGGCCATCATCCGGCCCTCGACGATAAGGAGTTCCGCAGTCTGGTCGTCGATATCTTTGACCTCGCCAAGGACCTCTGCGACCTGGCGGACGCGCACAAGTCACGGTCGCCTCGTGGCGCTGTGGTCGACAAGCGCGCAGGCTCGCCCAAGTCGCTGCGTGTGCTGGGCAAGTCGACACGACGTAAATTGGTGTGGGCCTTATGGGGAAAATCGAATCGCACAATACAGGTCGTTTTGTTAAAGGACTTGGTGGATGAGTTGCACAAGCTGGTACCGCCAGATTTTGTGCCAGATACATGGGCGTTACGCCCCGTTGTCGACCCTATCGATACGCTCGGGCCAGGGACAGGTATGAAGATAGGTTTTGCGGATGTCACCCTTATCGTCGCTGAGCAGCACCAGGATCTTCTCCAGTGGATGCTTTGTTGACCCAGATCCACGAACTCATTTCCCGGCTGGAAGGTACGTAGAATTCCTGCCATCTGTTCCTACTCGAACCTCCCTGACCGAATGTAGCAACAACACGGCGGGAACTGCACGCGTGGCTCCGACACACCCCCGACGAGCGATACGAAGACTCCTTGCAACGTCGCCTCTCGGGCACTTGCGGTTGGATCCTCGACCAGCCAACGTTCCTTGAGTGGGCGTCCACGGAATTCCCATCATGTGCTGCCAAGGTGCTCTGGATCCACGGCCCCCCGGGGTTCGGCAAAACTATCCTCTGCGCGAACATCGTCGAGCACATCACGAAGACCCTCCCGACGCCTGTCGCGCACTTCTTCTTCTCGTCGGAATTGGACAGCCGAGACGACACCAGCGTTGTCCTGCGTTCATGGCTCTCTCAGGTCGTGACGCAACACGATGGCGCGTTCCAATACGTCCTCCAGCATCGGGAAGCCGACATAAACCCAACCGCGACGCGCGACACCATTGTTTCCCTCTTCAAGGACGTAGTCCGTCTCGTTGCTAGCGCCACACTCGTCGTCGACGGCTTAGACGAATGTACGCATCTTGAAGGTCACAATTCTGTCATTAGTTTCCTCGAAACTCTAACGGCGGCCACGGCTGACACACACACACGTATTCTTGTCGTCAGCCGCACGCTGTCGATTATCCAGCATGCTCTCAAAGGCAGCGACCGAAGCATATTCTCGGAATTCCGAATACAACCTGACAACGTTCATTCCGACACAGTAGCTTACGCTCGCGAAATTGTGGGCAAGAAGCTGTCCAGCAGTCGCGATGACGTCCGATCATCTCTCTCCGAAGCAATGGCCAAGCGATGTGAAGGCCAGTTCCTATGGCTCGAGTTGTTGCAGCGTAAGTCCTTACGGACAGGCATGAGCAAGACTCAACTACGGGAAGCTATTGAGAACACACCGGCCGAGCTTGATAGCATCTATGATCGCCACTGGAAGTGGATGGCTCAGCTCGCAGAATCGGACAGACATCGTGCCTTCGCCCTCCTGCGCTGGACTACGTTTGCATTACGACCTCTGACGATCGGCGAAATCACCGAAGCCGTTGTCATCAAGGATGCCGAGGAAATACCGTGGGAAGATCTCCCTGATGACGTGAATGAGGCCTATGTCGACGGCCAGATCCGCTATCTCTGCGATCCCCTCCTCGAGATCCGGGGCGGGTCATCAGCTCCGATGTCGAGCCAACAAACAGTGCACCTGCCGCATTTCACCGTGCGGGAGTATCTGCTACGCAAACTTCCAGTGCCGGACTGTTTACGACCCAATGCCTCCCTTGCCGAACTTCAACACACCTTACTGGCAAAGGCGTGCCTTCAGTACATCAAATACAGCGACGTCTGGCAGATTCCTCCACATGACTCTCCGGCCCGTCTCCCCATATCGTTCCGCAGCTATGCTGCGACTTGCTGGCATCGCCATGTCAACTTGGGTCAGCGCGGCAATGACGAAATCATCATGCTTGCTGTCAAATTTCTCACCGAAAGCAGTCCCGCTAGTCAAGCATGGAGGTCGTTCGTCGAACTGGATGATACCAAACAACATCGCTGGCTGGCCGAGACAAGCTCGACAGGCCCTCTGCACTGCTCGGTGAAGCTCCAGTTGATGGAAGTGGCCATGGCACTGATCGAAGGCCGGAGCTGCGACGTGAACGAGACGAACAGTCTTGGAAGGTCGGCTCTAAGCCTCGCCTGCTCAGACGGATTCTTCGAGATCGCAGATATGCTCCTCAAGAAAGGGGCTAATAGCTGCTTGGCTGACAAAGACGGGCTGATGCCGATACACCTGGCGGCGCAGAATGGCCATGTCGATGTGGTCCGGCTCCTTCTCAGGGACCAGCCCCGCATCCCGATATTGACGAACGATGCGCGGACGCAAACAAGTCAGACAGAACAAGGAGTGGCCGCAGACGTACTCGATGTCACTTTTAAGACGTCGTTGCATCATTCTGTCCTTCACGATCAAACTAGATGCGTTCAGCTGTTACTCGAGCACGGCGCAAAGCTTACCGCCGACATTGACAACATGACCCCTCTGCATTACGCCGTGTCAAAGACTAGCGAGGACATGGCTAAATGCTTTTTGTCTGCTGGAATACCAATCGACAGTAGGGTGAAAAGGCACACTTGGCGGCAGGGACACCGAGAGGGCAAGCTGCACTATACATGGAGCAACGATGACAATCGCGACTCCGGACCGGAGATCAACACCCAAGAAGGTCTCACGGCCTTGCATTATGCGGCTTTGATAGGATGTCGGCAAATGACCAAGTTCTTACTCGACCACGGCGCCGACCCAAACGCAGTCTCGGAGCACGGCGAGACACCTCTACATCTGGCACTCAAACGAGATGTGCACGGTCCGGGATGGCCGAGCTTTATAGATCATTGGAGTGATCCTATCCACAGGGTTCAGGGCATCCTGGATATCATCGGCTATGACTCCGAAGACCTGGCCGAGTACTCCGAGCTGGAGGCGTGGATTGAAGCGCAGAGATCAGCCGTTGTTGACCTGCTTCTAGATCACGGATCGACCGACGTCAGCGTGAAAGATATCTACGGCGCGTCACCCCTGCATGACGTGTGGTATGAAAGCAGCACAGCTCCCGAAATCGTCGGACGACTGATTCAGAAGGGGGCCGACGTCTCTGCACGCAATCACCAGGGCCAGACTCCACTACACCTGGCTTGCTCCAAGGGAAACAAAGAGGCGGCTGCCGCCATCTTGAATCACGGCGCCGATATCACAATCAGCGACTTGGAAGGCGCCAATTCTTTGCATTACGCCGCACCGTGGTGACATAAAAACCATCCAACTTCTCTTTGCCTGTGTGGACGGTGTTGACGCGGGTGACCTCGCCGCCTCGCGAGACCAGCGCGGGCGAAATGCACTGCATCACCTGCTCCGCGATCCTGGCGTCGTTGATTACGCGAACGTTCAATGTCTCTTAGACAAAGGCGTCAATATCAACGACCTGGACGACGCAGGCATGTCTCCATTGGCCTTATACCTCAGCGATGATTTTGTCCTATGTGGCGATGCGCCGCCAGTGGTACGATTGATCCTCGAAAGTGCGTCGGATCCCTCATTTAGGACCCCCAACGGAGGGCTAGGCTTAGCTCACTTGCACGCCAACTCTGGCAAAGTCAACGCGGAGCTTCTGGTAGTGCTGGCTGACTGTGGCGTGGATCTGCAAGCGGGAGACGACGACGGCCGTACAGTTCTGCACCACTGTGCCATCGCAGGCTCCCTCACACCGGAGGCCTTCCGCTTCCTCCGCCATGAAGCAGGATTGGCCGAGACGCCAGATTCTCGTGGCAAAACACCGCGACAATACGCAGCCGAGGAGAGGAAGAAGGATCGCGTCCCGGATATTGTCGACAAACGTCGTTGGTCTCGAACCGAGAACATACTTCTGGGTTTGGTTTGATGCGAAGATGGACACTGACACGAAGTTCTCCGACCTGTTGGGTACTGATCCAAGGCCATCCTCAAATGGGTGAACGATGGGCTGGGGCGGCTATAAAGATTCCTTGGTAAAGTTCGGCCAACCGCGCATTACAGGGCAACGCGCCGGCGCTGCGTGGCAGTAGTGGTCGCGACTGCCTTGGAAACTTATTCTACCGGGTGGTCGTTTTGAACAGAGACACTATCAGCCAGTTTCTGGCAAATGAGACTGAAAGAGTTAAATTTAGCTATAGAATGACCCCCGTTAACATCTCTCCTCAACCGACGCGTCTAAGCAACTGTCGCTTTCAGGAGGCGGACGCGAATATTCGTCTCTCAGCCGCGGCTATTTCTGCAGCGCTTCTTCGATGTCGGCGTTAAGATAATGCCCTTTCCTCCTGTATTTGCCTTTTAGTGTATTAACGGCCGTGCGGAGGGCTATGGGTGGCTGGTCGAGAAAGTCCGTGTGCTGGAAGGAGATGTCCTGATTCTGTACGGCCTTACCGTAGTCGTACTAGAACACGCCGCCTCTACCCCCGTTACGACTACTAACGATAATATCGCCGAGGCGAATATTATGCTTTAAGCTAGGTACGCCGCCGCTGATACCGACTATTAGCCTAATATATATATTAGGGAAGCTATATAGTATATCCCGGGCGATTACGGCCGCTAAGCTAATACCGTACTCGTTATCGGGTAGGATAGCGATAATAATATTATACCGGGCGATACTACTTAGCGTATAGCTATTATTATTATACTAGGCGATAGGGGGAATATCGTTATACTCCTTATTAAGGAAGGCTTAAGCGGCGTTAAACTCGATAAAAAGGGCGTAGATCTAGCTAATAATATATTATTATTAGTCTAATATAGCTAATAGTTATTCTAGACTAGCGCTAAGGATCTAGGAGAGCGATTAATAATCTTAAGGTGTTTTAGAGAGGAAAAGAAGGGCGACATTAGTTAGGTGCGCGGGGGATACGCGAATAACGTATAATTAGGCTCTAGTAGTATAAGGCTAAGAGCTATAACGCCTAGGCGCTAGGTTATAGTAGCCCTTCGCTAACTATATTATCGTATATAATTAGGTACTACTCGGCTAGCTATAACTATTTATATCGTATTACCCTCTTTCTAGTATCTAGAAAAGCGTAGGATCCGATATTAAGGTAAGTCCCGGCTCGGGGGGGCCGGCGGCGGCGGATAGCGATAGGCGAGTATTAGTATCGGACGTATTATTTACGCTATTTCGCGATAGCGCTCTTTATTAGATTAATAGCGGACTATAGTTAGTAGCGGTTTATAATAAGGAGAGTATCGGTATAGAAGTTAATAGGAAAGAAGGTAGATAGTCTCGGAGAAAGAGAGGATTGGGTTTCCTATATACTAATACGGCTCCGCTTTTTTATGTTAGTATATAGTCTTGTTCTAGAAGGAACTCTGCCGAACTAGGAATCGACGCCGTTAATTCTCGGCAAAAGGCGGAGTATAAGCAACGTGCTAACCCCCGGGGCCACGTGACTGCGGTCGTTATTGCGATAGCGACTTCACGACATCAGCACTAAAGCCAGAGCGTCGGCGTCGCAGGAATTCAGGGCCTAGGGTACACAAGAAAGAGGCGGTAAGGACGCTGAAGAAGGTGACCAGGCGTCGCGGCTAAGGTCTTTGGACTACTCATCGGTGGTGTCGGTCGTGATTCTCTGGGCCCCTTAGCGAGAGCAAGCTCGGCTGAGTGGGCCGGGCCATATACCTTCAGGCCGGCCATCGACTGAATAGAGCTTGGCGGACGCGTATCCACCTGAGGCGCGTCGTCGTGATGGGCGCGACATCCTTAGGCCCACCCTCACACCAGCACCTGGTCCGAGCATATTGGCTTGTTTGTCCACGACTATAGTGCGGGCGTACCCTGCACAACATTTGGCTGTCCCAGGTTGTGTGACGTCTGTGCCGCTTGTTGGTCCAGCTGGACCCTCAAGGATTCGACCAGTTCGCGCTGCTTCGACTGACTGGCTCTGGGGCCCGTGCGGCGAGGGCCGCGCCCGTGTCGCCGGCCTGGCGCGGAGCATTGGCAGCGCCCCAACCGTGGCAGCGAGCGTGACTTCCCAGGAAGTCACAGCCTTCCACGCTCAACTCCATGTACAATCCGCCGTTGTTTCCTTGCTCTCTGTGCTTCGCGTAAGTAGGCACCAGGTGCTATAGGCGAGTCGACACGACGCAAGGTGGCTTAGGCCCTAGGAGGGGAATTGAAACGGACAACAGAGGTCGTTTGGTTGGAGACCTTACACAAACTGATACCGCTAGACGAGGTGCCAATGTACAGTACGTGGTCGCGACACAAGCAAGCCGACACGCTCGACGAGTGTGAGGATGTGCTTCGAGCTTCATGGTCCTCCCCAGCGAGGGACCTGTTCTCCGCAACTTCCTGAAATGGACCGCCAAATTTATCATTTGCCGGGCCCCGATAGGGAAATCAGTCAGGCAGCAGGATGGCATAGGATCAGGCTGAGAACAGCATCCGGCTCTGCCGCTCTTCAGCCAAGGCTGGCTCATTCAGACTCCATCATGCCATGAAAGTCAACCCCAAGTCCTCCTCCAACATAAAGTCAAAAATTGTAATATACACACCAATACACCATGTCGTTCGGCTTCAGCCCAGGGGATATTGTCATGTTTGGCAGGTTCCTCGTCCAGGTCCGCGGGGCACTCAAGGGCGACAGCGGTTCGCAGATACAGTACAGCCGCGCCATGAAGCAATGCACCGACTTTGAAGCGATCTTGGGGGATGTAAGCAGGCTGGACCTCTCTCTGGCCTCGGGCACCTTCAAGGAACGACTCCGTGAGTGCAGCTTTGACACCCAAGACGTGATCAAGGACTTCCGCGAGACTGTTGCGCGCTATGAAAAGTCGATGGGCGAGGCCTCCACGCGTGGGAAGCTCACGAGTGCTCCGAGAAAGATTCAATGAGCCTTTGACGCGGCCGAAGATTTGGAAGATTTCAGGAAGAGGCTCTGGTCTCAACTTGAGAGGATGGAGCTAATTCTCGGATGCAATACCTTGTGAGTACCTAATAGCAAAACAACCCAAATCCCATCTCTCCAGATATTAATTTTATAGGGAAATGGTGGCGAGAATAGGTCAACGCACCCAGTATCTGGAGGAAACCCTGACGAGTCTCATCCTGGCCACTCGAACGGCGCCGATGGGGACGGCCAGACTGATACCCGGATACACCCCAGCACCGCTGTTGCACACGCCCGCTTACCGCGAGATTGACTACATCATCAATCTTCTCGCCCGTCGATTCTACCGCGATGAGCCACGACTCGCCATCTCTGAGGTAGGACGGGCGCTCACAATCCCAGAAGGCGCATCCGGAGACCCTGGAACTGCTGTTGTGCAGCCGAATCAGCAAGCCATCTCGCAATTCAGGGCGTCTGCCAGCAGACAGGACCCGGAGCCACATCAGTTCCAGACGCGTGCCTCTCCGTCTAATGCCAAAGACGCCGGTCAGGCCGAAATACGCCAGAGGGAGAGAGCACCGACAGATCTTGCAAATGAGATCAACGAGCTACTCCGATCTCTCAAACTTGAAGAACTCTCTCACCTCGAGGAGCAACAGCTGCGAGCGCCTTCTGGCACACCGCACCTACAGCTAGAACCGCCACATGGAAGTGACAGCACCAACAGCAGCAGACATACAACAACTTCAGCGGACCAGAGTTCGCCCCATAACCACCCAGGGCCTGTTCCAGACGGGAAGAGGAAGAAGGGCTCGCGTCGCTTCGCCATGCCCGGTTTCTCTTCCATTGACTCCATCGAATTAGCAGCCGCAGTGTTACAATTTGTGGAATTTGCCGCAAAGACCGCGACTGCCCTGCGCGCATTGCGGACGGACCGCCAAGAGATAAGGCAGCTCACCTTGACGCTCTCCCGAGTCTCGCTGGTCCTTAGCGAGATGAGCGTGGTGGCGCGGACGTCAATGTCTGGCGCCACGCAGCACCTGGCTCTCGAGCTATTCCGGGATAGCGAGGAGGCACTGGGGGTTGCTATGAGCCTCATTGGCAAGCTGGAAAGTTCTTCGTTCAAGAGGGCGAAGTGGGTTTGGCTGAAGGGAAGGGTCGTGGATGCGACTAGGGAGCTGGAGCGTGTTGATGGCAAGTTCCTCCTCGTGCTGCAGATGCATCATTTCGAAGTGTTGGGCCAGACATCCGGGCAGATAGATTCTATACGGTCGCAGATGGATCTGACCCTGGAGTCTCTTGGTAGCTTGAGGTCTGTTGTTCGGACATCCTGAGTTCTCAGAGCAGTAGACGCAGTCTGTCAGGACCGGTTAGCTGTAGAATAGCACCCGTCTTCTGTCGCATCAAGTGAACAGACTTGCGCATGCTTCATCTAATCTGAATGCTGTCGGTAACATCAAGCTCCAATCTCAGAGTCAACACCTCTGGCTGAGTCATCACCTGCTCATCAGAGCATCTTCCATGACGAAGGCCGCCCAGAGCGCTGACCAGTGCACTGCGGCAATACGACTTGTGCCAGCGAGCTATGAATATCTCTAGACGCAAGGCACGCCGAGCGATAGACACAAGACGAAGTCTCGTCCAGATGAAGTTGCAGGTTTGCCCTCGGCGAGAATTCACATCTTTATCGAATCCGTGTGACGCTGCTACGGACGGGAGCAGGTCTGATTGCTCCTAAATGTGGAGGTCACGTGTCATTTTGGTCCGTGCGCTGGCCCCTCTCATGTACACCAAGTCTTGTATCTCGCGATGTCCCTCCATCATTCGAGTACATAAAGACCCCCCTCCTCCGCTCCCGACTCCCTCTTCTCCGTTTCTCCTCCAAGGTGGCCAATAGAAAATTACCGCATCCTCACCGCCCCTTCATCTGATCCAGCAATCTGTAACGTGGACCCCCTGACAGCATCCGACGACCCCAACGGGCGTCCGGCCCGAACGCATCACGCCAAGGCCCGTGAACACCACTCCACATGCCCGAGACATGCTCAAAGCAGCTGTTGCTTTGCGTGACAAGTTTGTCATTTCTGCGCTACCCGCATCAGACCACCACCCAAGTCCATCTAGTCATCGGTTCCACGCATCGTACCCTTGGCGACGCGCATGCCGGCAAATGCACCGGTCAATCCTGCCATCTGCTGGGCCGGGGCCGATGATCCAACGCTCAGAATGTCCGGCGGCAGACGAGCCTCGGCATCCGTCTCATACCAGTCGACCAACGTGCCCTCCTCTTTCTCCTGGAGTTTCCTCGTCACAAAATGCTCCATGGCATCAATCTGTTCTTGTGGCAGAAGCTTTGCCCTGTCCATAGAGTCGCCGCCCTCATTCGTTCCAAAGAACTTCTCGTCCAGGAATCTCCAGAAAATAGCATCGAAGGCCCACGTTCTCCGCGCAGCATATGTCACCCAGAATTGGCCGGACTCCCAGCTCTCGCGCATGCGCGAGGACAAGATCTCCGACTTCGTCAAGCGGCCCCGCTCGATGAACTCCGTCTCCTTGGCTTCGAGGGCGCGTAAGAATGTCGCTAATCTAGGCTCATACTTCTCAACCCAGTCGTCCAGACCCGCATCCCAGTCTTCGGGGGCTTTCAACAGAAGCCACCACGGAGGACTGAAAGAAAACTCGGCAGGGGCGGCATAAGTGAACTCCCAGTCGATCGCGGCCGCTATCTTGTGGTCCTTGTCCACCAGCACGTTAGCAGGCCGCAGGTCATCACACCAGAGCTTGAAGGGGCCCTGATTGAATCCGGCATCTGCGAGGCGGGACTCCGAGGCAAGTTTCCGGAAGAGTTGCCTGCAGTGTTTGTGAGTAAGTGTGCACCTGGAGAGGAAGAATTTTGGGCTGACCTGGCAATGTACTTCTTCTTGCAATCCTCGGCCGAATCAATGGCTTGATTGCGCTGGAAGGAAAGTTGCTGAAGGTGCATATCAGCTAAGGCCGTGTAGTATTCGGAGGAAGTTGTGAAGGTTGTGGAGATATAGGGTAGCTGGAAGTGCGGAACGCGAGCGAAGTTGGCAAGCTGGGACACGTTCAAGGAGAGGGGTCGTGTCGCGACTTCTGGCCTATCTTCTTCGTCCCGAAAGCCAAGTGAACCTATGGCGGTGAAGTTGCACCGGGACAATTGGAGGAGAATGTCGGCCATCTGGCTGTACATCTGCTCAAGCTTCTCCTCGTTGATGTCGGGATCTAAGATTGGGGGGTCCTCGTCTTCAAGGCCAGGCTTGTTCAAGACGTCGACGACATCACCTGCATTCTTGACCCATTCCATGATCATAAAGGGGCCAAGTCCACCAGGGCTCTCCTCTTTCATACCATGGTGAAGAACGAAAGGTAATGGGATGGTAGTATTGTCCGAGATGTAGCGCATCGCGGCAACTTCTGCCACGAGCTTTTCATCAGCGTACTGGAAGTACGCCGGCATGGGAAAGCGGATCATCGCTCCGGCGCCCTCAGCGAAGCGGATGCGATAGTAGACGTTGAAAGCGCCTCTCTGCGGAGAACATATTTCCAGAGGATCGCCCCCCATCCGATGCTTCACCACTTTCCGAACGATCTCATGGTAGAGATCCTCGTCGTAGAGCTTCTGCTTCCACTCGTCGAAAAGTGCATCGCCGTGCTCCCATGCAGCATCGTCGAATTCCTCAAATGATCCAGGCATCGTTGAGGGGGAGGAGGCACCAGATTTGATGGCAAGAAAAGAGGAAAAGCAATTGGGATGAGACGGATTCAGTGAGGCAGAAGGCAGGACCGATGGGAAGAGGGAAGTTACTGTTGGTGGACCGCGCTGAAATGCGTTTCCTGGCATGCGCGGCAGGCATGCCGGTGCCAGCTGGAGCAAATTATAGGCAAGGTAGCGTTTCGTCACAGCCTGGCAGGCCGCCCAGACAGTGGAGGCTGACCCCGCACTGGTCAGGCGACCAACCAGCTGTCCTCTCGAAATTGCGGCCCCGAGCCTCCCAGTGAAGCTCAATATCAAACAGACCCTCAGAAGCAGTCTTGGAGCGATCAGGAAACATCTGCGATTTGTTTTCCCATCAGTTTTCAGAGTTAGTCCCAAGCATCAGATTAAAAATATCAGCTAGAGCCGAGCATGGGCAGTATTTGAAACCGGTTTGTGGTAGCCACATGATGAAATGATCCCCTCCCGGCTTTCAGGCACCAACTACATAATCGAAGGCAGGCAGCTCACTCTTGGCGGGCCAACAACCAGCTCTTAAATTTAGCAAATGAGACCTGGCCACTGGCCCGACAAAATGGTGGTGCTCTGTCACAAGGACTTTCTGTTGCTTCTCGATGGCAGAATAACCAACCAACGTCCCTCCGTTGGCGCTGAGAGACGAGGCGAAGCCGTCGAGCGTGTCGCCGGCCTTCGCACCGACCATGAGAGTACCAACAGACCAGTGAAGTAGAAGAACAGGGTCAGGATGGACTCGAAGAGTTCACACACTGGCTCTCAATGATGACGGTAGAACAAAGTATAAATCATTGGCCTCCCCTCTCCCTTGGTGTGCGATATTCCAGTCAGCATCAATCACTTCACTTTCACCGTCGCATTTCATTCACACATCATACATACTACATTTGTCCATCACATTTCTCAAGCAACCTCGCACAGGTCTCTTAGACCAGGTTCAACTACCATTGACCCGAGCGAATACCATGGCCTCCGGCGAACGCGACGCTACCAAGTTCGGCATGAACATCCCGAAGGACAAGGCCGACCAGATGCGTGCTTCAGGCAGAAGCTCGCAGCAGAACAGGAACAAGGGCGGCGGGGAGTCCATGAAGCTACCCAAGGATGACGAGGAGAACTTGATGGACAGGTCTGCGAAGGAGTCGCAGAACAAACGGAAGAAGTAGGTTATCTTTGGATCCTCACCTCTTCTTGGCTTGAGCTTGCAGGTCACTCTGGCTGGGGTTGTGATGGGAGGCATCGAATGGTTGGATTTTGCTTATGTACTGGTACCCATTACTGAATTCCGGCCTCTTTTCAAACTTACACCACGCGTCTTGACACGAACGCCTCCATTTATTGCGATGCATAACTATTCCCTTTACGTAATATCTTCGGTCTTTCATCTATATGATGTAACTTGATTCGGACCGTGGGTCTTTCTCGGCATACCGTTTGATAGTGAGGTTAGCAGGGCGAAGAGACTCTTTATCTTCAATATATCATGATAGGTTCCTATATTTGTGTGGGTGGGTGGAAGCGTACCTTGGTGATGAGGGTGCTTAGGTACAGTTCGCTTGGCGCTATGTACTTGTTTTGGGGGCCTGAAACCTGTCCCCCACTGGCGTCCAGAAGAGGCACCTCGGGCAGCGTCACACGCACTTAACGTGGAACACTGTCTCCAGCCCCCTTGGATACAAAATGCAACAAGCGCTCCAAGGCGATCAAATCATGCTCAACAATGTCCTCCACGATTTCACCTGGGCCTCGCACTCTCCTTCCAGATACATCTTGACTCTTCTGACGAAGCCTAAGGTTTCGCAGCCGGGAGGAACGTCAACTGCCGCGGCTTTCCCCAAAAGTCGCAGGGGAGAAAGCGCCACGCGCCATTGCCAGAGCCAAACCAATATTTCACCAGATACGGCATAACAAACGGCAGAGGCGGGAAGTCGTGCCCTCCCTCGTACGTCTTATCCGCACATCCCAGCACCAGAGGGAAGACATCGTACTGCAAGGCCAGCGCGTCAGCATGTGAAGTCTGCAGAGCGCCGAGCTCAGCGGAGGAGGGGAGGCCGATTCTCACCAGTACGGCAGAGAGATTGCCAGATTGCTGCGCCATCTTCTCTGCTTCGGCCCATATCTTGCGCAGGCCCGCGCCGTCCAGGTCTCCCAGACCTAGAAAGACATCGATCTCGGCATAGAGGTGGTGTGTCAGAGGCTTGCTGAATCCGTCAATGATAGACTTCATCCCCCCGGGGCCCTCTCATCTGTAGTTATCAGGCTGTGTGGTGGTAGTATACGTGACCAGCTTCTCAATGCCGTCATGAAACTCCTCGTGCTGATGTTTCGGGTCATCCATGAAGCCCGGCCGCCCGCTGAACTTCTCAATCTCAGGGAATATGTATGTTTCCTCGATTGAATGATGGTGGTGGACCATCTTGGTCCAGGCTTGGACAAAGAAGAGGTCTTTGACATCCTGGGCGACGTACTTCTCATCAGTCGCATCGGGCACATGCGGCCCCTGTAGGAGGATGGCGTTGAGGCCCCGGATGAGAGTGTTGTGCACGTGTGCCATCTCAGACGCGCAGTATATGTGACCAAGGGAGATCTACTGCTTGGTTATTCAACGAGGAAGAGAAACTCCTAAGCTATTTGACTCGACTAAAGCGAATTGCGAAACGTATTGCCGGGCACATTATCTCCAGTCCGCCGCCATCGTGGGTCGAAATTGGTGAGGACAAGAGGGTCGAATGGCTGCGTTTGCTAGTCGAACAACTTCGCAACTCGGAGAATACAGGGATAGCAGATATTATAGAAAATGACCCAACCCAGGGGTGTGTCATTCTGCGGGAAAAGGTCAAGTCGATGAGACACAAGAACAAGGGAAAAGGTAAGACTTTACTCTATTGAGATGTGCAACAGCTCACACCAGTATGTAGACACCGAGAAAGGCACTCCGGCCATCGAACGAACCGACGCCGAGCCTTCTACGAGCGCAAACGATGTCGAATAGGGCCATGACCTCGTCAACCAGGTCCTGGCGCAAGCACCGCCGGCAGGGCCCAATATCTGGCGTAATATTCAACAAAGGACGAGAAGAGTTCGCCATGAGATACTAGGGAGGAGCGCATGGAATAGGGCGGCACTTGATACCACTGCATAGCATTTTCGCGAATATGGGGAGTAGCTGCATCGTGGACCAAAGCTAGGCTGTTACATCCCCTTTAACATCCTGCAGAATTCCAACTCGCCAACCCGGCTTCACATCTTAACGTCTCGGAATTTCTATGTGTAAAGTTTCCTTGCAAACTCCCTCCTTCCCCAAATCGCTACAATGAGTGGGTTATTGATCTTGAGTTCCCTAGCCAGGCGCTCGTCGCGCGCGCGCGCCTTGAAGCATAATGTGTCCGAGATGCCCGAGCAGAGTTGACAACCAGGTGATGGTCTGCTTCCTGATCAGGTTCTCGAGGTCGGGAACATTCTGCAGTTTGGCGACGAGTGTCAGGGCCAATGAATGCGACTCTGACCCTTTGAGGTCGGAAACAAATCAAGGACTGCGGCGCGACGATCCACTACATGCCATTTGAGAACCCGACCAACTTCGATGGATGGGTTGTTTGCAAGCCCTGCCCTATTCATGGCCGAACCGGCTCGGAGGCGGATTATAGCAGTTACCCGGTCGTTGACATGGATTTGGAGGGAAATCTCGCCATCATCCAGAGGGGTCTGGACCATGGTCCGCAAGAAGAGGACATGGAGGCGTCGGGTCTTGACGTTGATATATCGCAGCTCACTCTGGAGGGGGAGAAAGGTGATTCCACTGACCCTATCAAGGTGGACGTGCACTCGAGAGAGGGACGCATTCGATTCAATCATGGTGGCGAAACATTCAAGAAAAAACCGGAATCATGGAGTGTGTTTACCAATGACGATGGCGAAGTGCATCACATCTTCGAGAGAAGGGGAAAAATGTACTTCACTCATGAACGGTCCATAGAGGCAGCCGATGAAACTGGGGGGAAAGGAAGAGCAAATTGACACTTCTGTGGCTACCACATTCTAGCAGCAGCGGTCACTCGACCCATCGCCACAATCCGCCTGAACCAGCCTCACGATGCGGCCAGTCAGCCACCAGCAGCGCCTGTGGTACTACAGACGACCACAACGAGAGCGATGGGGAACAAACAACTTCCTTCCCCGCACTAGATGCTCTGGTTTCGCTTGGTCACATTGGTTGCTAGGCTGCGGGAGGACGACTCCGCCTAGCGAACGCAGGACCTCACGACCTATACATTGCCTAATACCTTCGGGTCCTGCTGGGCATCAAGGAGAATGGCCCTAAATACGGAATACAATCCCGGGTCCTCCCGCTCCCATGGCTTGTCCATTGGAAAAACTTGTCGTCGCAGCCTGTTAACCCATGGGATCAGAGGCTTGTAATAGAGCGTGAAATGGTCCGTGGCTGTCTCCATGAAGATTTCCTCCTTCGCCACTGTACCCAACTTCAATTTGGCCAGCTCCTTCATTTCAACGTAATTCCACTTGTCAAACTCTCGGACGGCTCTGCCCTTATCTGGCCCATTGTAGCGGATGCATATCCAGAAGAGAACCCAGAAGAATGACTCCAGGTCGTGCATGAAGGAATGCTGCTCCCCTAGCAAAGCACCGATTGCCATGAAGGCCCTCGTTCCTGTCTTTCCCTTTGCACCCGAGGCACCGCCTCGTTCAGTTCTGATGGCGAGGTCGAGGTCGATCAAAAACGAAGGCCAGGAGGCGTTGTCAGCGTCCTCGTTGATCATGAGATTGTTGATGGATACGTCTCTGTGGAGGATGCCAGCCTTGTGCAAAGTCTCGTGACCTTCAACACAGCCCGCCAGGGCGGCAAGTAGCGCCGATCGAGAGCTCGCCTTGTAGATAGGCTTTCCATAATCCCGGAGAATAACACGCCGATGCACCCGATTTGGCATTCCGCTGGCGGGCTTTGTTGGAGATACGGAGCAGGATCGCTTGCCTGGGGGTAAGGGGGAATCGGTTTGGCTGGATGGCCGCTTCCTGCTAGAGCTGCTGCGGCCTTTCCGCGGCGCATGCGTTAGTGCGTCACTTAGCGGTAGAGGACGTCCTAGTCGGTAGTTCGTTGCCGCAGTAATATCCAGCCACCGTCGAACATTTTTCTGAACATCGTCGTCCGTCTCACGTATCTGAACGGTTTCGTGGTGGTAATGCCGGGCCACGTTGATAACCCCTTTGTCCGCCACCTCGGACAGCAGATCGCCCTCCTCATCGCGTTCAGGGTATTGCCACGAATCCTTGATCACAAGAACCATCTCCGGATGCCCTTCGGGATGGGCCTTCCAACAAGTTGTCGCCCGGCCAGCTATGCAACGCGCGCGTAGCATGACTTCGTCGATGATGACCCGTTCTCTGGAACCGTTTCGCTCGATCTCAATGAAACGTTCGTGGTTTGCCGTCACTATTGTCGGATCGAACCCGAGTTCTTCTTCGCTCATCCAGAGGAAGCCGAGGACCGTGAACACGAACCGACGCCCGTCCTTGTTGATATCAAATTGCTCGGATGCGATACCGCCAACCCTATCGAAAGCCCATACCCTCATGAGAGACCCGCAGATAGTAAAGCCCAGGACGAAGCGACGGGAATCCTGTGCAGCGAGCACTTCTCTCGCGTATCTCCCAAGGTCGAGCCATGCCTCCGACGCTTTGTCTGCGGATGGGTTGCTCTTCAGCTCTCCAGCCACGAGAACTTGGGACCAGTGGCATCTCGAGTCCTTCTGAGCTTGAGCATCATTCATGAACCCTATGTCCATTTTCCGTCTCCCCACAGAACCATGAATCGGCTCGTTGGGCTTTGCCAAGGGTCTTCTTCCGCATCGACGGGTTGGGCTCGACTGCTGGCCATCCGCGAATGCCGTAAGCTTCTCGATGAAGCCCGCAAACCAGCTCAGGACTTCATCCTGGTTCGCATCTTTGGGCCACCCCTCCCAACCATCCTCAAACTTTGGCCCGCTACCCTCGAGGCACTGGTTAAAGAAAGCCTTGGATGCAGTCTCCAAACTGACCACGCCTCCAAAGTATGTGTCGTGGAAGTTGCGGAGCCCGACATACATAGGGCCAAGCTCCTCCTTCAGCACATCATCGACATATTTGCGATGCTCGGATGAGTTCGGGAAGCTGCTGGTGTTACGCAGCCATGGCGTTTGTTGGAGAGAAGACACAATCAAACGAGGAGGCGGCGTGGGCTCAACAACGGCGCTGTAGACTTGATGCCAAATAGAGGAATCGTCGGGGTGGTTGGCGAGAGCAGATGTCAGAAGGGGCTTGATCCGGTCGAAGTCAAAGTCGTCCGAGAGGAGCGAGAGCTCAAGCCGCAGTAGGTCGCTTCGAAGGCTACCGCGACCTGTCGTCGCAGGTAGGAGGTCGGCAGCTGGGAGGTTTTGTGCCGCTCTCAGACAAGATAGGACAACTTTCCGGAGATCTGCATGGTAATCAGAGACGGAGTCTCGTACAAAGTTGCTCAGTTTGCTTACCTTGATGCTCCAGCTGCTCAATTGCGGCTGGAGTGCAGGTGGCGCCCGCGCTGTCGCAAACAGCAATGAAGCAGGCGCGGAAGGCATCAAGGCCGTCCCCAATGGGGTTTCCCTGGATGATCTCAGAGCGTAGTAGTTCGTCCATCGCGGACGAGATTGTTACGAGGAAAGAAACTTGACAACATCTGAACGACGCGCCTTTCTGGCATATTGGCCCGTGCGGCCGCGCACACCACTCAACCATCGACAAAATACAGCCACAGCACGGGTTTTCCGTGGCGCATACTCGGCGGTCCTCAACCCCGCTCAAATTATGTGGTCAGACATGCACGGGCCACAACCCCGACACCGTAATTTTGGATCCCCGCTCCTTTGCGGAGTCCGAACTGAGCGAGCGGGGTATCGCGCCACCCCGAGGGTCGGCATCTGCCGACTCCAAATACAGATCAAGGACCGCTGCCACGGCGGTTGGTTCGAAAATCCCTTTCTTTCTTTGTCAATCGGAGCGGAGACACCTTCACAGCTTCGTAATCACCAATAGCCATGGCAGCAGAAGCTCAACCGGGCGCAGCGCCCCTCGAGATCGACGACGATGCGGTGCGTAACGAGCGTGCGGTTACGGGAAGAATTTTCCTGACGTGGACACAGCAGACTCGACGAACACTACTGGAACGTAAGAGGCAACCCCGGTGCTGGCAAGGTCTCGCCGACGATGAGGCTGACGCATGGATTGAAGGAGCTTCGCGACCACCTCACTCGCACCCAGCGTGCTGGACTACAAGTTTGTGCATGGACGTCGCTTCCACGCGTACAAGGAGGGAGGTGAGCTGGATTGTCATCAGTACCAAGATCATGGAACACTGCTAATTGCAGCAGCATATGTGATGCCCAACGACGACGTCGGTTCTCGCCACCCCGGTACACCTTGGAAGGGAAAGTAGGCTCACGTGAACTGGCGCATGTAGGATGAGCAGGACCGTCTGGACCTGGCGCATCTGATGAACGTCAAAGCTATCGGCAACAAGCTCTACCTAGCGCCTCTCGATGCGGCCAGGGTGCAAAGGATCCTCGATCTGGGTACTGGAACGGGCATCTGTGAGTGATGGGGTGCACTAACATCTGGTTCTGTCCGATTGTTGACGCGACATGCGTACAGGGGCGATTGAAATGGGCGAGGAGTTTCCTGGAGCCGAAGTCAGTCCCCCCGAAGTTAGAGCCAAGCGAAGACTAACAATATCCACAGGTGCTGGGCAACGATCTGAGTCCAATTTAACCCGAGTGGTGCGTGCTCATAACTTGTCGCCGGGCGATCGTCAGTCATGCTCACCAGTATTTCGTCTTCCAGGGTCCCTCCTAACGTCAAGTTCGAGGTCGACGACGTGGAGGCCGAATGGACTCACTCTGAAAAGTTTGACTTCGTCTTCTGCCGCTACATGTCTGCGGGCATCTGGAAGTGGCCGGAGTTTGTCAAGAGGGTGTTTGGGTTCGTGGTCTCTCACGGAATCTGACCTTCTTTTACTCGCCCCCTTGCTGACACGCAACACCGCAGCGGCGTCGCCCCAGGCGGCTGGGCCGAGTTCCAAGACTACGACATGCGCTACTTCTCGGAGGACGGCTCCCTCACTGAGAAGCACCACACCAAGAAGTGGATCGACACGCTCCTCGGGGCCGCGGCCAAGGTCGGCCGCGAGCCGATCCCGGGCGTCAAGCTGCGTGAGTGGGCGGAGGAGGCCGGGTTTGAGAACGTTACCGAAAAGGTGTTCCGGATGCCCATCGGGCCCTGGGCCAAGAATCCGGACCTGAAGCAGGTCGGACACATCAACTTGGTCCAGGTGCTCCAGGGGCTTGAGGCCTTTTCGCTGCGCCTCTTCTGCGACGTCGAGGGGTGGGACGAGGCGGAGGTGACGGTGCTGCTGGCCAACGTGAGGAAAGAGCTCCAGTCGGGTGCTTTCCACGCGCAGATCAAGCTGTGAGTAAACCGGTCGTCTCTCGGCAGTTGATTGATGACGCTAACAGGTCTCAGCCACGTCGTGTACGGCCAGAAGCCGGGGACTGCCGCTTGAGGGCGAGTACAGACGTATCATGCAGGCGGCGGATAGCGTGGTGACTTCGATGTTGAGCTGTATACCGTATGGCTAGAGTGTCAATTCTGGATGGATAGCCTCCATGCTATCGAACGCATGATCGCCACCGTCCCCAATGATCGTTTGATGGACCACTGAGACGTACCTCAAGGAGTCAGAAGATGCCCACGAAGCTACCTTCCACGACCGAGCCTTGAAAGTGACGAATGTCGTCAATAGTCATGGAGAAGAGGGCAGCCGGCCCGACGCCTCAAGGAAGAATGAAGAAGCATGAGACTGCAAGTCAGCATTGAATGTACCGGAAGCGACCCAGCCGATGAACGAACGTGGGGCCCCGGTGTATGCGAGCACTTGAAACCCCTGCACCGTTGGTTGAGCCAAATTTTCACCACCCGATTAACCATGGCTGTGGAGGTGGGTGTTGGTGATGACGGTGCTGGTGGTTCTCGCACTTCGACCTGATGATGCTCCAGTGCGACTCTCGGTGGTATCAGTCCGGCCAGGCAAGCAAACAGGCAAGCAAACTACTGTGCCACTGTGCCTTCCAGCCCCCGCCATCAATTTGAAGGGATAAGCAGGCCAGATCAAGGTCATCTCGCATCATCATGGACCTTGCCAAAGCCATCCGTGCGCTTCTGCGAGATTATGGGAAAGCCTTTTGGCTTCGCTTCTGCGGATGGTAAGGGGCCGCCTCCATGAATCCTACCGCTCCGATGCGAACCAGCCGCATTCTCGCGTCATCTCAAATCTGACCTTGGACTGAACGGTCCTTACGATTCGCCCATGATGCTGTTGCGTCCTGTGGGCGGGCCAATACTCTTCGAGCACCAGCACCGGGGCATGGGACACCCCACCGAATACATGGTCCGGGACCGGCGCTGCTTCGGGTGGCCTGGGCGGGGTCAACGCGGTGCCGGTCGGCATTCAGTGGGTCTCGGGGCCGACAGCCAGCTGTGTGGCGCTGTTCTCTGTCCCGTGTCCCTCCGTCGGCATGGTCTCGTACAGTGTGCGATATGCGATGGCGATGCGCGACTGGGATCACGGTGTGTTGACATTGCCGACAGGGTGCGATGGACAGGGCGTGCCTGGTCAGCCAGCATGCTTAATTTCTTAATCACTCTCCACCACGGAGGAAGCGGGCAAGGTCTCGTGTCTGCCTCGTACCTTGGGTGTCCCTTCTCGTGGGACGGCCGGACAAAAGAGAGGTCCGGAGGTTATACATATCTCCAATAACCCAGTGTTGCAGACAGAAGCCTTGAAGCTCCGGCTGACGGATGCCTGCGACTCGAGCGGCTTTCTCAATTTTCTCACAGCCTAGATGCTAGTTGTGAATATTGTGACACGTGGGAAACAATGGGCGAGGGTTCCGATATTGCGTAGAACGTCCTACGTTGGTGACAGCTAGCCTACGAAGGAGAGAGATGTAGAGTGAGGGGGCAGGCTGTGTTAGTTAAGACAAACCAGCCTCGGTCGTGGTCCCCCTAGGGCGACAACCTTCCGCCAATCTGGCCTCAAAAGACTGAGAGAGAATTCAGGAGGAACTCGGGAAAATCAGTCAAGATAAGCCCCACAAGTTGATAAAACGCGGAGGGTTTCTCAGCCTGCAGTAACCCGAAGGGGCGGCACAGTACACACCTCACCATGCGCGGCTGGATGATCTCGAATAGACTTTCATTAAGCTATGCTACCTGTTCCTTTGCCTAATAACTAATCCTGCCTGATCGGGCCCATGTTTGGTCTGGTTGAGGGATCCGCGACACCGTCCCATGAACCTCAAGGCATCACTCTGTAGATGCATCTTACTTTTCAAATCCAAGTCGCAAACCGTACATCGCGGCTTAGCATCATTAGGCAGCTGGTCAAGATGCCCGTCGGCGGAAATGCTTAGAGAGGTCGCCGGACGTGTAAAATTCGTGAGTACGCTCTTTCAAGTGAGGGTCATTCGCTGAGAGAGTGAGGGCAGCACCGACACACAAAAAGCATCTTCTTGGCCGGTCCTTCGTGTCCTTGGCGAATACGGACAGCACGACACCTTCTAAAAAGCTCACCTCGCATGGTTGATCATGAGATATCTGGACTGGCTTCTTTGCCGTTGAGCCATTGGTTCGGCATGTCGCACGGCCTTCCACCACGCTGCAGTAGCAATGATGGCGTCAATGAGACTGTCCCTTCGCTGATAGTATCCTTCGAGGGTGTCATCGACCGGCGCGGTCAAAGCAGCAACGAGGCGCTTCTGTGCTGGGCGTTGAGGTGCGCAGGCGGCTGAGTCTACGTCCATAGGCTGCGAGAATCCGAGGCCCTGGAGTTGGCGTTGGATGTCCTCTACGGCCTGCTCGTCCGTCCACGCGTCTTTGATTCGTTCCATCAACGCCCTTTTGAGTCTCTGCTTCTCATTCCTCAGCGCACGAACAGCCTCCTGTCGTTCTTTCGATCTATGCGGTAGTCGCTCCACCTCTCCCGCCAGCTCCTTGATGCGGGGATCGGTGTTGACAGATGCCACCTGCTCAGGAGTTAAATCGATCGGCCGTCGCTTGCTGTTCGCGTGGCCGATGCTGCATCGCCTGCTGCGGTGTTTGGCCGCGAATTATCGCCCAGGTATCCAGGCGCACATGGCGTCCGAGGTAGTGCTTCTGGAACGGGACAGGACCATCGTGGTCGAGTGCCAGGTTGCGGATAGCATCGCTAGCATAGGCCACAGACGTTAGAAAGTAGGAGCAGTCAACAGGGTTAAGTAAAGCTTACGGCTACCATCGAGCTCGTTGTACCGAAGGCTGTAGCAGATAGTGGTGTACATTCGGCCCAAGATTTCGCCGACCCTCTTGATCCATCCAGCCAGCATCCCATACGAAATGGGTTCCGTCAGGGACATCTCGAAGCCGATGAAGGTCTTTACAGCCCGACGGAAGAGGGGCACCTCGTCCAGGTCTCTTCGGAGAGGTAGGCTGCTCGGATGAGTTCGGGAAGCTGCTGGTGTTGCGAAGCCATGGGGTTTGTTGGAGGGAAGACGCCGTTGGGCGGGGAGGCGGGGTGGGTTCGGCCACGGCATTGTAGACTTGTTTCCAGAGAAGAATGTCATCGGGTTCATCGGCAAGGGTCTGCCGCAGGAGAGGTTTGATGCGGTCGAAGTTAAAGTCGTCAGAGGTGACAGCAGCAATGAGTTTCAGGATGTCGGCTTGAAGGGTCCCGCGATCTGCGTTTAAATGGAGCAGGCCTGCTGCCGAGGTTCCTTAGTCCTAGATACCGGTTAGGAGAGCGTTGTACCCAGCGTTGGATCGGATTACCTTCGCGACTGAGCTGGTCAATGGCATTTGCAGAGTAGGCGACGCCCTCGCCCTCGCACGCAGAGATGAAGGAAGCACGGAATACATCAAAGACGCTCCCAACGGGATTGTCCTTAATGATCTTTGGCCCCTGCAGATCGTCCATCGCGGACGATGCTCGAGGAAAGCGAGGTGACAGGATTGAAATAAAGACGCGCCACGTTGACCCGTGCTGGTCGTCGACGCGCAGCCACCCACCAGGTACAGGGCCGGGCACGGGCCACAAGTCTGACCTCAGACTTAATAGCTATGACCTAAGCCGGAACAGGACCGAGGCACGCTCGGGAAAATTGCGGATGAATGAGATCCTCTTCTCAGGGTTCGGCTTCGTCCAGTGTCTAAGCATTGACTTCATTCGACCCGAGAGATGGGTTTTACCTTTACCATAAGCAGTCTTTGCGACGAGAAAAGGTCCCGCTTGTCATCATCAGCGAACCCGTCGGACTTTCAAGGGGCAGATGCTAAAAAATCAGCCATAGAGTGGAGTTGGTGGCTCTTGCACAAAGGGTATGGGAAGGTCCTGAGGAAGAATTCTCACGACTTTCCTTAAACAGATTAACTCAGAAGCAGAGCAAGGCAGTTGAGCGAGGGGGTAATGAAGTTGACCGCGGAGGGCAATGGCAGATTTATGGAGGTACTTCGTCCCCAAATCAATATCGAAGCTGTCTATTCACCCACTCATCGCAGTCCATCGCAAGCCACTCAACAAGACCCCGGAGTGGCGGTGGAGGGGGATCTCTGTTGACCAACACCGTTTTCCAGCCATTATCTCGAACCGCATTTCCCAAGACTCTGACTAACCACTTAACTCCTGGCACGCGGAGGCTCGTCCCCATGATCAACAGCACGTCTGGCTGCTGTCCGAGATCTTGACGTACTGCCTCAGCAATCAGATCTCCGTCGGGGTGCTCCTCGTTGTAGAGTCGAATATCGGGGAGGAGAATGCCACTCGCGCACCTCCGTTTCCCTGCATCTATCCTTTCCTTCGCCCTGCCTCCACAGAGGAGGCATTCGCTTCCGGGAGCCACATCGCCAAGCGAAGGCCGAGACACCTGGAGACAGAGAGAGCATCGCAAAGAATGGACGGAACCATGCAGCTGAACGCAAATAGCAGAACCAGCAGGACCGCAAGGTAGTCCAGCCTTCTCTTCCAGCCCATCGATGTTCTGGGTGTAAGTCCTTAGCAGCCGGCCAGTCGATCTCAGCTCGGCGATGAACTCGTGAGTCGATGTAGGTGAGGCAGCATTCACCTTCTCCTGGAAATCCCTGACTTTGTCCAGGTACTCCTGAGCCGTGTCGGGGGAACGCAACATAGCGGCGTCGAAGAGCTTTCGAAGACCCTTCCCCTTCCGAGATTTGAAATCCTAGACTAATTAGCTTTAGGACGTGTGAACACGGAGAAGTTACTCAACTGGTAGACCTGCTTGTGTGCTGATCCCTGCGCCCGTCACCACAATCCACCGTTCCCCTCGTACCTGCTGTGCTGGTAAGCAGGCAGGAGACGGTGAGGAGAACGGGGACACATTCACGGTCTCCGACTGATGTCCAGTCGCTCGACTACTGTCGTCGTCGGTGATGGCCTCTGCGAGGGGGGTAGACCGCTGTCGGCCAAGGGCCAAGGCCTCAGGGGCTGTGCCCGGCTGATGGAAGGGGCCGCTCCCGTCCTCGATGACGATGGCCTCGCGGGGAGGAGAGGTGTCCTTGTCGATGTCCTCGGGAGGAGAGGCGTCCTTGACCTTGCAGATAGACAAGGAGTCCTCGTCGTCGTTGATGATGATGACCTCGGGAGGGGAGGCGTCCTTGACGATAACTTTGCGGGGAGGCAAGGGGTCCCCGTCGTCGTCGATGATGATGTCCTCGGGAGGGGAGGCGTCCTTGACGATAACTTTGCTGGGAGGCAAGGGGTCCTCGTCGTCGTCGATGATGATGACATCGGCAGGGGAGGCTTCCTTGACGACAACCTTACGGGGTGGCAAGGAGTCCTCGTCGTCGTCGATGATGACCTCGGGAGGGGAGGAGTCCTCGATGACCTCAAAATAGGGCTCTCCCCACTTCTGGCGGTTGCGAGCTCGCTCAGCGTCATTGAACGCGCGACTGCGCTTGCGGCGGGAGTTTGCTGTGTAGGCCATGATTGAAGGATCAGTCGAAGACTTAGGAGAGAAGAAGCTGATGGCTAGGTGCGAGATTCCGGGGGATGTGGCCTCGCTTTCATAGACAGGCACGAGACGACCGCTCCCAACGGGCCGAGTTCACGGTATGTTGGTGGCGTCGCGAAGGCCTGCGCCTTGGGAGGACTCTGCCTTGGCCAGACGGTTTGGCGATCCGCTGGTGCCGGGTAGGAGCGGTGCTCGCGGAAGAGTGAGCGAAGCGTGGATGATGACCCGAGAGCGAGACGACGTGTCTGATACCCTCGCTATGCGCGCTTCTCAGATACCTAGGATGCTTCGTCGTCCACCCGGCGTCTTTTGAAGGGCCTCTCCGCTGCGTCGCCATGTCCCTCGAGATGTTGCATCGCTTCCGCAGCTCGGATGCGACTCAGCGCCATCTCGGCTAGCTTGTCTCGCTGTATCTCGACAATGTCAAACGCGTGGAGCCCATTGTCAACCAGGTTGTCAACCACAGGGTCAATCACTTCCACGTCGTCGTCGCTGTCCATGCTGCCGTCCACGTCGTCCACATCATCGTCGTCATCATCGTCCACACTGGCGCCCACACCGTTGCTCATACCGTCGCCACCGTCGCCAGCACCGCCTGCTCCATCGCCTACATCATAATAGGCCTTGTCACTTGCATCTCGCGGCTGTGACAGCAATGCGACGAGGGCTTCTTGAAGCGAGATGACGATGTCGTATAGCTGAGATGCTTCCTCGTAGTGCTCTTGGGCTGTAGGGTCGCCGATGGTTGTGGCCATGAACTCGGTGTAGGATCGAAGAGCCTTGGATGCTGCGGTACTCCTCTGTTCCAAGCATTGCCTTTTGATGGAGTTGAGCAACGTTGGGTCGTCTGAAAGAATAGTGATCTCGTCGCTGTAGCCATGAATGAAGCTGGACCTGTCCTTGTTTCTCTCATCTAAGCGGGCGATTTCTGTGTCGCTGTACGATTCAAGCACCTTGGATGCTGCCGCGCTCTTCCGTTGCAGGCACTGCCTTTTGACGGATGCGAGAAACGTTGTCTGATCTGGGAAAATTGTGATTGGTTCGTTGTTGTTGAGCCATTCTTCCTCGAGCACTCTAATGCGAGGATGGCGTGCGGCGAAATTATCGATTGTATCGTCGCTGGCATTGCTGCACCTCGGAGAGCCGTCGGAGGTATGCTGAATTTGGGTGGTGGCGACAGGGTCGCTTTGACACAGCGAAGGAGCAGCTTCCATGGTGGAAGGTAATGAGTACCGTCGAAGGCGATGGGCATGGGGTTCTTGTGAGGTACTGCTCTCGCTGGTCGTGAGGGCCTGGGTCTATATATAGACGACACGATGCTCTCAGCATCTGCGGGCACCGCCTTTGTCCACCTCCTCAGCGGAGGTCGCCGAAGGGGCCGCTCCTTGCTCTCATGATCGTTCCGCTTGCCCCTTGAGCTTCCCGTTGGCGTGGCGTACTCTCCCCTTTTTCCACTTGGAAGGAAAGCCAGTCCGCTTCGGGGACCTTCCCTTGTCGATCCAGCCATTGAGGCAGTTTGATGTGGCGACCGAAGCGCCGCTGCACTCGTGTTCGGCCTTGGCCAAAGAGATGAGCAGCCGCCCCCCTTCTCAACCATCCAGGATCTTGGCCGCTGAATTCCGACCCGGACGCAGCTGCCCCCTCTTGTCCGGTGATGAGAGAGCGTGATGCAACCACGCCCTCTTGCCCAACCATTCAGGATGGTCGTCAAGGTAGGCCCCGGACCAGTGATGACCATGCCTAGGATGTAGCCGCCCCCTTTTTCCACTTCTCGGCTCAGGAGGTCGCCATCCACAACGTGAGGCCCCCGATGGACCTATCCAAGCTTCGTGTTGCGTGGTCCCCGGAACGGCTGAGCCTTTTCACAGCCGGTGATGCTGGCCGTTCCAGACGAAGAAGGACATCGTGAGATTCGACAAGAGTCCCACATGGGCTCACCCAGCATTCGTGTCTTCGAGGAGACCAGTCGTCGTGGCGGATAGGAGAGCGTCATGCCCGGCATGTAGCCATCCACTTCTGACCCGGGCCTCGGCGACGCCCGTGCCGCCGCCCCCTTTTTCCACCTCTCAGCAGAAGGACCGGTGACGAGCGAGTGTCATGCCCAGAAGGCCGCCATCTCCCTTCCGTGTCTCGTCCCTTCCATGAGGTCCCCGATTATGGTCACCCAGCTTGAATCCTAGCCAGAACCTCGTATTGCGTGGTCCCCGAAGCGGCCGCCGAGTCAATAGTTTTGCTGAACCGTGACACTCGGTGTGATCATTCGTCCGCTGGTGGGATGAGTTGGCACATGCCAGGGTTGCAGGCCTGGCGATGCCGGGAGGCTGACGGATGAGCCTGGTCGGCGAAGGGGCGGTGATGCGATGCGGCATTTCTGGTATTGGCCGCCATGGGGAAGGGATGGGAAAATGAAGAATGTCAGGGAGCCCGGAGACGGGAGATAGACGGCGCTTTAAGTACTCGAATGATGGGAGGGACATCACGAGATACGACGATGGGAGGGTTTGTGTACATGAGAGGTGGGTCAGCACAGACCATTCACGCACGTGACCCCCCAATTTGGGGCAATCAGAAAGCTGCTCCCTCGACAGCGTCACACGTATTCCACTTATCTGGTGCAACTTCATTGCTGCCGAATCAACACCGGCACCGAGAACATGGCAATGGTTCTCAGTGCTAGTCACAACGAATGAACCATCGCATTGAGGGAAGGGGGCTGAGAACGGCCGGAAATTGAATATGCTCGTGTACCCCTAACTAACCAAACTCGCACTCAGTTTGCTGGCGCACGGGCCACAACCGCCACCCATGGCGGTTGTGGCCCGTGCGCCCAGTTGACCCGAGACCCCAGAGAGCTGCTCGATGTCTTTACCCCACCTTCCACAGCTATTCGACTGAGCCCAGTGGCCACAAACTATCAGGATCCAAGATAGCACGAGCCCAAAGAATTGCAGGTTGGAAAGAGACTTGGGGACGGTCGTGGTCGAGGTTGACTCCGGGCGATGCAGATTCGAGCTGAGCCTCCTGTATTTGAAAACAAAAGGCGATGACGTGTTTGAGTGTAGGCTATTCAGGGATATCGACTGGAAGCATGAGATCCTGCCAGCTTGCTGGGCGGACGAGGTGAAAGATGATGTGCTTGGCATCGTTGCCATCAGGGATGCCCAAATCCCCCCAGTTGACGGCACGGACGGCCAAATCGATGGAAACGCCTCCGTTCGCGTGGTATTCGCAGAGGTTCCGGATTTTCTTCTTCGGCCTAAGGCTCGCAGTGATGGACACTCGGACGATGAGCTCGGGGAAGCTTGGATCATTTGTCGGCGACTTGATTCCCGATGATGCTTCTTGCTCGTGGATGAACCGGACCAAAGGATCTTTGCCCTTGAACGGATCAGAGTTGAGATCGGGTAGATCATCAACATGGCCCGAGGGTAATCTGATGGGTCCACCCTCCCAGATGGTACCTTCTTGCCCTCGCTCGTGGCGGAGCGCGATGGAAAGGCGGCTAGGCAGCCACTGAAGATGCCGGGAAGCCATACCTCAACCTTAGCGGTCCTTACCCTGAAAATAGCGGGCCGACCCGACAGTTTGGGTCGGCATTCTCAGATCCGATAAGCACTAGGCATGTCAGGAGCGGACCTTTCCCCATCGTGGTTCAGATCGCGCGATCCACGGCGTTGCCGCCGCCGCACAGCCTCCTCAAATGATGCCAGGGAGGAAGAACACTGATGACCATCAGAACACATTCATCTCACTTCGTTTTGCCGAGCTGAAACGGAGACAAAGTAGAAGTTATTCAATTGGACTATCTAGTGCACCCGGTGCCTGCGGGTTTCTCAGCCTCTCTTCTACACCCTCGGTGGCATTGGGACCTTGCGCTGCCGAATCAGTTTCTCCATTTGCCTCAATTTCGATTGGCGGTCCTTGCGACCCTTGCGACCCTGGCGGATGGGGCGGCCGGTGTGGAGAATCTCGGGGCGCTGTCCGGTCAGTTGCTTCCGCTACGATCGGCGGTGGCTATCTTACGATGTCTTTCATGGCTGGAGGCCAGTTCACGTCTCGTACCGGCTGGAAGACCTCGTAGTCCCGCTACCTCTGTCTTGGGCGATGATGGTGATGTTCATGTTGAAGATCTCGCCGAACTCGAAGATCTTGTTGTACAGGCTCCGCCCCCGTCTCTTGCGTCGCACTTCTAGATGTAACAACCGACATCCCAGCCTACCGGCGGCGGTGGCCATATCCGTCCACCTGATGACCACAATCGTCCATTCCCGGAATAGAACATGCCTCCTCTTGGGCTGGAGACTTCAGGCCAGCCCGCCTTTGCCCGAAAACGTCTCTCCTGGGTCACAGTAATGAAAGACGAAACGTGCCTCGACCGGACCATCTCCGAGTTTGGCCTTCTTGGCGGGAAGCTCCTCCTGGCTGACATCATCGACCCCCCTCTTGAGGCTTGTCTGGGCAGGCAGGAGGAGCTTCTTCGGCACGCGATGTAGGTCGTGCAGATGGTTCTGGTATGATTCACCGTCGTGAAAGCTGCCTTCGCAACGTAGGTTTGGGCACCGTTCCTGCCATGACACGCCGTGAGCTCTGATGTGCGTCTCCCAGTCAGACAAGGAACAGAATGATTGAAGTCGTTTTGCGCACCCGAGACCTGTATCCCAAAGACAGAAAGGACAGTGACCCGGCAAGAAAGTCGTCTCAACCCTTTTCCAGGACAACTCCATCGGAATGAGGTCCTGCGTCAAGTGATCGTGGCAGTGTCGCTCCCACGCCTCGGCGTCATACAGCCACTGATTGCAGAAGAAACAGAACTCTGCGAACGAGAACTGCTTCTTTGTACATTTGTAGATATGCAGATGATCCCTGGCCTGTTAGAGGGCCCCTGTTCATGGGTGAAAGGTATACTCACGAGCTTGACCTTGAGCAGTGGCAAGTCGCACCCAGGCCGGGCCGGTCGGCTTCCGTCTTGGAATTGCAAAGCTTTACCAGAGCCACAAGGGCTGCTTTCCCTTCCGTGCTTCTCAAGCGAGCCGGTATCGTGAGAAGATCTGCCAACTGTCGACGGAGCGGCATGACCGAACGGAGCCTCGAAAAGGGTCGACTGATCCCTCTACACACGAACGTGCGCTTGTCGCCAACCACCATTCCTTTGGAAGTCTCCTCCCATAGCATGTTAAGGGATTTCTTCTCGAGGCTCTCAAGGTCGCGTCTGAGCTTGCGAACGGGATGGGCAAGAGGTGCTTCGTCCACCTCGGCTGGAGACATAGTGATGACCTCGTGCTTGGCCTCGTGCTTGAACTCAGGGTCTGTCGGCGAGTCCATAGGCAGTTCGAGTTTAGTGGTTGTAAACGCCCTGATCTGTGCCTCAATCTCCCTATACTCATCGCTCATCGAGAGTTGTTCCTTCTTCGCTATGGGGAGGGAGTGCCACAGTTCCGGTTCCCATGAAATCTCGAGGTTGCGAAAGAGCTCCCCTATATTCATGAGCCTGGCCTGAGTGCGCATAAAGGCTGCCTGGCTGTCGATGCCTGGGTTTCGGCTCGCGTAGTGTCGGGCCTGGATATGGTTGTTCACATGCCCCGCCATTGTCTGTCTCTGAATGTCCGAGCAGTTGGGATTCGCATCTATACTATGTGAGCTGACGCCAGAACACGCGATGGGCTCTACGCACCAATATTAGTAAGACCTTCCGCCCGGAAAGAGTGAAGGCCCGGAGGATTTGGAAAGCCTGCCCTAATAAGCAAAGACCTCAGTTCTTTGGAAAAGAGCCCTGCTGTCATGATTCTCCCACTTGCGCCGCAGAAAATGGGTGAGTTGAGAACGCTCCCATGCCACTGGATGGGGATGATCTCCTTGGCTCTAGGCCTCAACTCCAGAAGCCTCAAAAGCCCATCCAATCCCTGGTAGTGTTTCAAAGCCCTCGCAGAGCAGAATATGACTAACAAAAACAGAATGGGATTGGTGTACAGCGCCTGGGGCTCCAATTTTCCGCGCTCATGAATGTCAGGCGTAGGCCTAGATTGTCAGACCACGAAGCTCGTCAAGCCAGCTGCTCCACTTACAACGTGCTGGGAAGATGGCATCTTCCTTTCAAAAACTTAGTCAACTGAAGCGCGAACTCGGGTTCTCCTCTCTCATTTTGGTACACAATGAATTGGGTATCCTGGAGCCGAGGTCAGTGCTTGAAGCAATAGCTGATCAACAACGTCACCTTGTAGTGGAGCCCTATGTTGCTGTTGTATCGAGAGGAAGACTCGAGATAATCAGAGACTCGCGCGGCTGTAAACACTGACTGGAGAAGGGCCGCCCATAGATCGTTGCGTAATCTTGGTCGGGCGAAGATCTTCCAATCGAGAGTCCAAAAGAACTCTCCCGCCCAGGTCAATACCTCAGCGGTGGCATGGCGCCGAGGTCCCTTGTCTGCCACGATGTTAAGACGCTTTCCCAGTGCACCGCGTGGCTCAATGAGCTGAGAAGAGTAAGCGAATGTTCTAAAGAAAGTGCAAGAATGCTTACACGGGTAACCGATGTGAGATGGTCTTTTGGTATGGTGCCTCGTTCACGGTTGTAGGCGGCGGTAAACTTTTTCCAATACGAATTGAGGCCCTTCCATGAAAGCCTTTCGTCTGGAAGCTTTCCGCCTCTCATGGCCATTCCAATGCGGAACACATACTCTTTGAGGTCCTCAAGGGAGTCTACACTCCGTGGGCCATGCTCTTATACGCTGGTCTGGTGAGATGACGTATTGCACGGATGCCGGCTTAAGAACTCACAAGTCATCCCAATTCTGCAGTTGCCGTTCGTAGTTCTTTTCGGTTATGTCTTCGACGTTCTTGTTAACTGGTTTGTTGTTCACGATTGAGGTGTCGATCTCGACGCCATCTTGCTGCTTCATGTAGTTCTTTCTCCTCGGCCCTCGTCTAGACGACTTCTTGGGGGCATCCATGGAGGCGGCAGTGATGTAACTCTAAGGGGGGAAGGTGACAAGTGAGGGAGGGAAGATGAAAGTTGCGAAGGGGAACACGGGCGGTGCTGGGGACCGACCCCTATTATACCCCTGAGCCAGGTATCTATTTTAAGCAACTCAGTTGTAGTCCGACCTGTGATAAGCCGTTGGTGGTACTGAGCCTCTGCGCAGCGGTCGCCAGTTGTTATATCGCTTTCGAGAAGACAATGAAGTAGGGAGGACCGTACACGAGAGGTTGTTGGCAGCGTTGAGTCCCGGTTGTCTTCTATGAAATGAGTATGACGCTTTGTGTCAAATGGCTTGACGATGATCGTGGTCGGTTGATCCTAGGCAGCATCATTGCTTGATTTGGATACGAGACCCTCACAGCTGATGCCAAGGCGTCCCGCTGCTCTCAGGTACCCGAAGTGGCCGCGCAGTAACAAACAACGACCCAGTCTGTAAAGCAAGCATATCCTGTTGAAAGCCTCTTGGCCAGCAGGGTGTGAGCTGAGTTGCCTCCTGATGGTGCGGTGCCTGGATCGTGTCTATTGACGGAACGACCTAGGGAACATGGTTTACCTGCTGCTGGATGGCTGGATGAACAGCAATACACAAGATAGTCGCCGTTAGAAAAGAATCATCGCAATAATAGTCTCCAATGAATCTACGTCTCCTCTCGCTCATGGTAGGCAGTAATAAGCACAGAATGGACCAGCCATTTCAACTCCTTCTGTTCCCTCCTCAGCATGAATGGATGGCATAGCAGGTCTTTGATATCAGGCTTTGAGTTAGCCATAGTGAACATGTCGAAGGCTTCTTGAGACCAATCTTCTGGATAGGTCAGACCTGGAACTGCGTCCTCGGCTTTCTCCTTGTCCATCAGTTTCATCGTCAGGCGACCGAACGACTCCAAGAGTTTGAAAGTATCACCACCCTTACGGCAACGCTCAACGTTCCCAATCTTAACTTCTCCTTCTAGGTTGACCTGTACATTCGCGACAGAGAGCTCTTCGTGAACTAGGCCGCTTTCTAGAAGAAACATCGCGCCGGAGAGGACCTATAACCATCTCAGTAAAGCCCGTAGTCACTAAAGTAAGTCTCATACCTGGTGCAGAATGGAGCTGAGCTGCTGCTCGCTTGGATATATGGGTGCCCGACAAAGATGCCGGAGGGTCGTGGGCATGAACTCCGAAAGTAGGAAGCAACCTTCCTTGGGACAAGAATATATCTCTAGTGCTGCGACGATATTGGGGTGGCAAATCTGGCGGAGGTACTGTATCTGCTCGTCGGTGTTCTGCCCAGTTATTGACCGGATCATACTGGTTTCATGTGACTTGCGAGCAGTGACAACCCCGAATGAATAGCCCAAGTGGATCCGGTACTTTGTATCATAGTGTTTCCAGGGCGAACCGGTGAGTACCGGGACGAGGTCTCGGCCTTCCCTCCGGATAGTTGGCCGGACGGGAAAGCGGCTATGACGCTGGGTCGGCTTTCGTGTACTGCGCCCTGCCACCTGCTGCGCCCCGTAGGCATCTAGTGGACTGTCCTCGATGAAGCGAGTATGGCGCTTTGCATCCGACATTGCGAAGTTGCCTTCCCACTCTTCTAACTGAGCTGAGTTTTCCAAGTGTTGGCCGATTCTTTATTTATACACAAAAGTTGCGGGGCTAGGTAGCCATTTCTGGCCTGTCATTATCGGCCGATGCCAGCTTCGTCCACCTCGACCTTCGATGGTTTTCGTCCATCTTGGGGTCCGTTTCACCCATAAGGCGCCTGACATGTCCATTTCTCGCACTTGACATGTCTATTCTTGACATGTCCAATTCCTGACATGTCTTATTCCTGTCATTGACATGTCCCAATCCTGACAAGTCCTATGCTGGACATGTCCGAGTCCTGACATGTCTGATCCCTACATCTGACAAGTCTCCAGTCATGCTATAAGAAGGACTCGATTAGCCACCTTCACGTACCAAATCCTTGGGTTCAGGCCCATAAACACCATGACGTCGCTAAAGCACATCAACAACGAAATAGTGTCCAAGTTGCAAGGGACTGTGAAAGTTGACTTGGCGTCTCTTTTTTTTGCCATCGGGCCGGAAGAAATAGACGAAGTCGATAAAGATAATGTGGAGCGCCTCGTGAAGATTTTCGAGTTGGAAGGGTGCAACCGTCTTAGCCCAGCTCACTCCATTCCTGGCTCTATATCGGCTGATGTGCTCCAAACTGCGTTGGCACATTCTAGCCTCACCATCGAGAACTTGCGAGATGTTGAACCACCCACCCTATACCTGCCTCCAGGTTTGCAAATTGAGTGCCTTCAAGGCAAGCATCGCCTCGCAGCGTTAAGAGAGTCCAAAAAGCTCCATCCCTGGTGGACGGTCAGACTCTATGTTGGTAGGCCAAAGCCCAGTCAGCGGAAATTTCGAGTGCTAAGTGTTGAGGCCTTTCCACCGAGGCAAAGCGTCTTTTGATGGAAGACTCTCATAACGAAGGGAGACGTTCTGAAGGCTTCATATTTCTGAACATTCTCAAATATCCATTGACGTCACCGAATGCAAAGAGATGGCTAGGAAGGCTCGGCAGTAAGAGCAGGGTTGACACAGCGAAGAGGCTCTACAAGCGCGACAGTCTGGCTGGGGCAATTCGCCTCGTTCTTGAGATGCCAGGCCAACGAAAGCACTTCAAACTAGGTGTCTGGAAAAGAATAATAACTGAAGGATGTGACGAGGTATGGCCCGGGATTAAAGTGGATGGTTCAGGTTGGTTGCTTACTTCTGTCTAGGAGATCGTACACTACCTCCGCCTCATACATGACACCTTTGCCTTCATCATGGGATCTGACACAGCCCTGAGGCTTGTGGATGAAGAGACGGTCCAAAGTTTCGAGCTCCGTGCCCCCGGAGTGTCACATCAGGACGATCTTTACGTTTCTGCTGCCGTGTCGGAAAATGCGGTGCTCTGGTACCTGGAAGACGAATCCGCCAGGGAACAAGTGATTAGGCGACTGAGAAACGTCCACTACTTGATTCCGACGATCTATTCCTTGCAGATGGACTTCTACTACTTGCAGCAGTGCACCAGCGTCATGAGAAGGCTGATATCCGGCAAGGATCGCCTTCCCGTCACCGTACAGTCATTGGCCTGGAGCGCCTTTACTCTCCCCCATGCCTCGGTCTTCAGCCCTGAATCAGATTTTCTCGGAAACCTCAAGCTTCTCTATCTCTATATCATGCAGACCGCTGTCGAGCTTTCAGGCGAGAACCCGCTCCTGGAAGATAATGAAGAGAAGCCGGAGCCTCTGCAGTATGACGAGAGTGCCTGGGTTCACTTAGCTATGCAAGCTAAAGGCAAGGGGTTTGATTCTGATGAGATATCTCGGCTGTGTTCTGTGGACCTGGAACGTCAAGTGGCTTCGAACCTTCTCCAAGCCGCTCGGCCGCCTTCAGGCTTCGACTGGGGGAAGAACTTCGACAAGCTGGTTGATATGCAAGTCAAGATCCTTAAGGAAGCGCAGCCTATCCAAAACGAGCCCGGCAGTCCCGAGCTGATCACTGATCGTCACGGAGAACCAATTGCTCGACGCTGTGGGCGCCAGTACTCCAAGGCTTATGCTCACGACCGTCACTTCTATACAGTAGACTTGTTTACATGTATGGTGCAGAGGGGATCCGATGTTACCTCCCTGTTTGTTCGGAGATCTGTCTTCCATGCTTTTTGGGGCATTCATGAGATCAAGAACCGCGAGGGTTCAGGAAATGAAGATGACATGCCGGATGCGCCCGAGGAAGCAGGGGTATCCGGCTCAGACGAATCGCTGGAACTATGTGCTCCGGAAGCTGATGAAGATGACGAAATGAGAGACGCCCCAGCTTTTTCAAGGCATTCAGAGCGAAAACAGCCACGCCAAACATTGAGGAAAAGGAAAGCGCAGAGAGACCGGCTCAGAGATGGGCCAGTTGCCAAGGTCCAATCCAAGGCAACAGCTAAAGGGCCTCGCAGGGCCACCGCCGCTGGTAGGAGCTCGGCGGTCACAACATTCATTCCGCAGCTCGAGCTCCAGGCTGGGCCGCAAGATGGACAACAAGCAACGGAGCCCGACCACCGACTGATGACTATGATAGTCCGGAAAGACGGTAACCTGGAAGATGCTAGGCAATGTCGCCGCTCATCAGTCATCCAAGCAATAGATGAAGTTCGCCGCGAAAATCCAGGACAGAAGCTCAGTTTATACAATAGGAAAGGGCGTGGCATTAAGGCAAAGGACTGCCCTAACTTAACCGAAGATTTTTTTTGTTTAAGCACTGAAACATCTGGTTATCCAACGGAAGAAATATTGTAGTAGTACTAGATGAATGGAAGCCGGCTTCCTAACTAGCTCAGGGACACACCCTGGAACACATCAGCAGGCGAGCATCTGCTACTTGATCCCGGCGCAATTCAAGTCCTGCCCGCCGACATAGAACACCTCGCCTTATTGAACTTCTGGAAGAATGTCAATGTCCATGCAGCTAGTGTATATTTCAGCGGGCGTATCTATAGCGGGCGGCTTAGAAGGCTATTCCTAGACCTAGTAGAGAGTGTACGGATCACGTATATCGCTAGGAAGGCGGATATCTGCTTAACACTATAGGTCAGCGCTTTAAGGGTCCGCGGGGACTTTTCTAAATACGTCTTAATAAGCGATTAATAAGTATTTATTATTAATCTAGTAGTACTAGCTATCGTTAAAGGGTCGAACTGCTAGTAAGGAGCCTTTCTAGTCGTTACCGGTACTATCGGTGTTTTAGTCACGATAAATAAAGACTAAGGTATTATCCTTAGAGGGAGTCTAAGTACCGTAGATAAAGATCGTTCCGCTATACTCTTTATACGGACTTACTTCTAGGAGGGTAATATACTTATTCTCCTAGTACTAAAGAGCGATACAGTCTCTAGGGCGCGCCTATAGCCGGGGAAACTTATCGCCCGACTATAAAACTCGCTATAAGTCCCTATAGATTCTAAGGTCGTTAAAAGTTAGGTTAAGGCAGGAGATAAAGCCCCGAATATAGCCAGGCTCACCGATTATAGTGCCGTTTAAGTCAAGGCGTTTAAGGCGCTTAACCCAGGAATAGGCGCCCGAAAGGGGCAAAGCCAGAAGAATCGTGATAAGTATATTAAACTCTATATTAGCGATGCTTATCTGCTAGAGCGACTACCCGGTACCAGGGGAGTCCGCTTCATGCTTTATAAGCGAAGTCGAATCAGGCAATGGCTAAATTCGTCCTCGGCCGACTTTGGCCATTCGCATTAGTATATCAAGGCAACAGGGCATCTTTGCAATGCTCTAGTTGGCAGCTCGGATCACCGATGCTCGTGGTAATTCAATTCTCGCATGCTTCTCTCACAGAAAGTGCACGTTAAGTCCTGCTGAAACCTACCACCCTCCAAAAGCTCCTAGTGTGGTGGTAGCCTTATAGGCCGCGTCGCGGTAGCCAGGACTTCCTAAGAAGTTACGAGGCCTGCGACAACGTGTTACAGTAGGTGGGGGCGGGTGACATATTCGGCCGGAAGGGTTTGCGCCAAGGGAAACCCAACTGGCCCCAAAAATAGCATCACTCAACGCAACTACGCTTTCGGCCCTAACGCGAGCTACTCCTCCAAGTATATAAAGCAAGGTAGGGAGGCCTGCGTGACGTTTCTCACGCCTGTAGACGTGATCACCAAACCGACACGATGTGGACTAGCACACTTTCTATCTACCATATTCATCTGCGCAACAAGGCGACCGCAGCTCAAGCGGCAGTCGATAACGAGGTGCCCCTCCTCCGACACCAAATCGAGTCAAATAAGCTCCGGATACGGCTACTTCTGCAAGAAAATAAAGCGGTTACGCAGGAGATAAGCGCCCGAGAGGAGGCGTTAGAATCTGCCCGCGGATACGAACAAAAAATCGCGATGGTGCTTCGCGTGAGTGTCTTCCTAGCTCTCCTCGTTCACACTGACGGTTTTAACAGGATAAACCTTCCTTGGACCGACGGAAGATTGCCATGCCACGTATATTAGCATTCCTCCGTAGCGCCCTATCTACCAGAGACGCAGGCCCTCCAGTCTCGCGCCCGGCTTTCCCATAGTTTGCCCTTCTCCCCAGGAAGGTTCGTGCCATGGTTTAGGAACATACCTGGCCAGAGCCCATGGCCTTCGATATCGGCCACTACGACTCGCTGGGCGGGGAATGTCTATGTATTCGCCCGACCAGCCGCGTCCCGTCATGGCTGGAGAGGCCTCAGGACGCAGAAGAGGGCCCGCTCGAAGAATGCCCTGTGCCCTTCGCCCTTCACGTGTGCCGCGAGTCGAGAATGCTCTTTCTGCAGGCACACAGGCTCATTCAGAATCCCAGGCAACAAAATGTTGCCTCCTACTTCAACCCTCGATCCGACAGTGAACCAACCAGCGCCAACAAAAAGCCTAAACTACTGCGCCCAAGCCACCTCATCAAGCGAACGATTGAGGCTCAGGAGGGAAATGCTGTGCGGATGCTAGCCGGCTCGCCCCGGAAGCAATATAACGACAGATACCAAATCAAATTTGGTCACATGTTTGGCGTTGTCACGGCTCGTGGCTCCGGTCAAGTTCGGATGATTCGCACGATCAAGGGACCTAATGCCGACGAGCATGTACACCGCTTTCAACTATGTCATCCAAACATCGTCAAGGCTGTGGAGATATACAGTTCTTACGATCTACAAGACAACTTTCTTATTTCAGAGTTCATGGAAACGTCTCTCCGGCATCTAGGCCGGTCGCCAATCTACCCTAACGAGGAGCAGCTCAGTTCTATCTTGCATCAGGTATGTGTTCCTGGAACGAATCAAGGCAGAACTAACAGCTATCAAGGTTCTTTCCGGTGTCGAATTTCTCTTGCAGAATAACTTGGTCCATGAGCGGCTGTCTCCCGCGAACATCCTGGTCAATGCTGCTGGAGAAGTCAAAATCTCCGATATTGACAACTGCCGACGAGACGGTGATGGCACGAAGCTTCTAGAGTCGTTCAGCGGGTTGATGATGAAGCTGATGGATAAGGAGAAGGCAGGGCCTACAGTGACTGGGCTGTCTCACCCTGATCGCTGGTCGGACGCGGCCTTTGACATGTTCACTCTGGCTGTCTCCAAGCCTGGCATCAAAGAGTTGATGAATCACAGGTTCCTGCTGAAGAGAGATCAAAAGGAGCTGTGGTGGTTGGTTCTAATGGTGCTTATTTCTGCGAAGCATGACAGATGCTAGTCTATAGGAAGGATAAAACAGCGTGCTTGAAAGAGGACGGGGAGCGCAGGCGTTCTCCAATCACGAGATTCTACAGCAGTCACGCAGGGACAAGGCCAGATACCAAAGCAATAGCACGAACCAAGAGCCATCAAGATAGGAGTAGCAGGGCAGGACCCGAGGAAAAGGGCTTGGCGCTTATACCATTCGTCCCTGATTCACTGTGCATCATACTTGGCGTAACCTCGATTCTTGTGAGATGGAGATATCGGACGAACACAGAAGCGTGTCGGGCAATCTGCCGTTGTCTTTATCTTTTCGCTGGCAGAATGGGACAATGAAGAACACATCTATTCATGCTTAACAAAACTGTGCTTCCCGTTAAGGCCTGCCCAACCCGGTAAAGCGATGGATACTTGCTACCGGCCATAGAATGGCGAATACGTCAGTCGACGACCTAGCCTGCCAGCATCTGTTCCTTGATCCCGGCCCAGTTCAAGTCCTGCCCGTCGACATAAGAGACATCGCCTTGTTGAACTTGTGGAAGAATGTCAATGTCTATGCAGCTGGTGTAGATTTCAGCGGGCGTATCTAGAGCGGCTAGCTTAGAAGGCTATTCCCAGACCCAGTAGAGGGTGTACGTATTATATATATCGCTAGGTAGCCTAATATCGGATTAACACTACAGGTCAGCGCCTTAAGGGTCCGCCGGGGCTTTGCTGAATACGTACTAGTAAGCGACCGATATATACCCGCCGTTAATCTAGTAGCACTGGCTATCGTTAAAGGGCCTAACGGCTACGAGGGAGCCTCTCCTATTACTGCTAGTGCTATTAGCGGTCTAGACGCGGTGTATAGAGAGTAAGGTATTATCCTTAGAGGGAGTCTAAGTACCGTAGATATAGATTATACTACTATACTCCTTATACGGAGTTACTTCTAGGAGGGTAATATACCCGTTCTCCTAGTATTATAGAGCGACGAAGTCTCCGGGCCACGCCCGTAACCGGGGGAACTTATCGCCCGACCTTAAAACTCGCTATAAGTCCTTATAGATACGGTCCGTTAGGGGGATACCTAGCTCTACGTTCCTACTATTCGGTGGAAGGTAGTGCTGTATTCGGAGGTTATTAAAGGTTAGGTTAAGGCGGGAAATAAAGCCCCGAATATAACCGGGATCACCGACTATTATACCGTTTAGGTCGAGGCGTCTAAGGCGCTCGACCCAGGAATAGGCCCCAGAAAGGGGCAAAGCTAGAAGAATTATTAAGAGTCTATTAAACTCTATATTAGCGATACTCGTCTGCTAAGCAAGTGCTCAGGACAGAGGGGTTATCTTTATGCTTTATAGGCGGTCGAAAGCAGGCAATGGCCATATTCGTCCTCGGCTAACTTTGGCCATTCGCGCCAGGATATCAAGGCAGCAGGGCATCTTTGCATCGCTTGGGTAGATCGGGTCGACGATGCCTCTTATAGGACTGACATGTACGCCAGGAGAGCCCTGGGCCACAGCGTGGTGGTCGTGCGGCTGCTGCTCTCGCGGCTGCAGTCGCACAAGGAAGCGAGGAGAGAATACTTAGTCGAGGGGCTGGGCGTCGACCAGCGCTGACTTCCTAGGAAGTTACGAAGCCGGCCATAAGCAGGGTGGTCACGCCCACGGACACCTTCCGGAGCTCCGGCCTGGCCGTTGGCGCTAAGACGCCCAAGAATAGCATCACTTATGCAACTACGCTTGTGCCCTAACCGAGAGCGACTCTCCCAAGATAAAAGGCAACAAGCATCCTAGAATCCGTCCTGACCGGCCACTTCTCACGCATGTAGACGTGATCACCGAAGCCGACACGATGCGGGAATTCCACACTTTCCACCCTCCACAGCCACCTGCGCGACAAGGTGACCGCGTCTTAAGCGGAGATCGACCTCGGCTTACCCCTTCTCCGGCATAAAATCGAGTTAAACAGGGTCCGGATACAGCTACTTCAGTATGAAAATGAAGTGGCTGCGCAGGAAATCAGAGCCCGAGAGGACGCATTAGCGTCTTATTCGCAGACACGAACACGAAGCGGCGATAATGCTTCGAGTGGGTGTCTTCCATGCCCTCCTCGTTCACACTGACAGTCGCAGGTTAACCCCTCCTTGGCTGGACAGAGGATTGCCATCCCACGTATGCTCTGATCGATGTCTCTCTTATCCAGACCTTTACTGACACAACGCAGGTTCTCACGCCTCGCGTCCACGGTTTGCCCTTCTCCCCGAGAAAGTTCGAGCCATGATTTAGGAACATACCTGGTCAGAGCCCAGGGCCTTCGACGTCGCCCACTACGATGCGCCCGGCAAGGGATATCTATGCATTCGCCCAACTAGCCGCCTGTCGTCATGGCTGGAGCATGATTTCGGGGCTGAGGGTGCCCAAGAGGGCCCGTTCGAAAAATGCCCTATTCCCGTCGCACTTCACGTGTGCCGTGAGTCGAGGATGCTCTTCTTGAGGGCGCACAGGCTCATTCAGAACCCCAAACAACAAAATGTTGCGTCCTACTTCAACCCTCAATCCGACATGCTCTGTCTCATAGAGGACGTCGACCGGGAAGATCTGGAGGAGGTTTCGGCCCACTATGGAGCCCAGCTCGGCCACATTCGGAGGCTGCTTGTCGAAGACTGGAATTGGTGGAAGGATACGGAATCCGCTGAAGCTCTGATGCGGACCTTCAAGGGGCCCGGCTCCATCTGGGTGCTGCTGGTAGGTGACGACTTGGACGAGGAGGGGTGTAAGCAAAAGGCTGCAGCCCTCCGACAGAGAGACGCGCGGGCGTTGAGGAGTCATCAAAGAAAGGGTTGGACAATTCAGTACATGGATTTGGAGCAGAAAACCTACGCCGAGTTGGCTGTTGGCTGTTGACTGTTGGCTATCGTAATGTATCTCCTGTTTGTCCGGCTCGCTTGTTACAGGTCTGAGTGCAATTAACGGAGCGCGGCGGCATGTCGTGACGGACGAAGCTACGTCGACGCAGGCCTGCGAAATCACTGCGCCGCGACGTTCCCATTTGCGGCATCGCACCCAGAGTACTGGAAAGTTGGCAAATGATAGAGACGGCAAGCTACCATGCATGGTCTCCGGACAAAGCGACGTGCCTGACAAGCGGACCGCAGGCGAAGCTGGCTGACTGCGATGTAGAAAGCGTTGCGGGTAATTCGCTCGCTCTCAAGAACTGCCACTGTCATGCAAACGACTTGACGCTGCTGGACCTCCTGAGGAAGCGCGTCGGAATAGAGCGGAGCGGAGCGGCGCACGAAGTATGGCACCGGGGCAGCTACTGGCAGCGGTCCTGTCTTGAGACGTCGGTCGCGCAGTTTGTCTCCGGCCCGGCGCCGGCCTGCCGTGGATCAGCGCTTGCGCCACATCCGCGTCGGGACACTTCAACACAGCCGCTTCGAGAAGCCTTCCGCGATGCCTCGGGCAGTCGGGACGGAGAGACGCCGTTGGCCCGACTCCTTCACCTGCCAAGCTGAAGCGCACCCGCATGGTACAAGCCGAACGCGTGGATCGGAGCCCTGCACTAACTGATAGCGAGTGTCCAGGAAATTAGACGTGCCGACAGACCACATCTGCCTCGGCCAATGCGCCCCGTCGACAAGGGCAACACCGCGGTCCCAGGAAGTATCTCCCTGGCACATATTCCACACCGTGCGAGGACAACCGGTGCTTGCCTCCATCGCCACACCACGCCTGCCGGCCACCGCAGCACCTACGCCGCGGAATCGACACCTTTGAGAATGGTACAATACTGTGGGCGCAGCATGAACACCACTCCCTTCGGGCGGCAGGGACTACGTGCTATTCCAGAACGGCACGGCCCGGGCCTTGCTGCACAAGCGTAAAGCGGTGCAGCGCGAACATTTGTGGTCGGCCGGGAACGCCCGTCGTGAATCCGCGATTGGTCAGCCAATCGAACGTCTCCCTCGTGCATGGCACGCGGCCCAATGGCTCAGATTGGCTTCCTCCCCTCCGCAAAACAACATGACCTCCTGAGACCTGTCACCTTGAATCCAACCTTGTGGCAAGGTCACAATGAACCACAACACTCTTTTTTTGAGCACCTGCTTTGATACCATCGAAGAGTCCAACAGTGACGATCAAGCACGGGTTTGGATCCGCAAAGCGTCAGATGCAAAGATCGACTTGGCAAGATTCGTCGCCGACCGCCGAGGTAAGGGTCGAGCCACCGAGGTCGTCGGCTTCCTCAAAGGCTCGTTCAATCTGGGCTTCCGTATCAGATTCGAGGATGACGGACCAGACGCCATTATCCGTTTCCCGAAGCCCGGTCACATCTCCACGGTCTTTCTAGAGGAGAAGCTCATCAACGAAGTACGCGCTATCGAGTACATACGCCAGAACACCACAATCCCGGTTCCTTTTATACATAGTTGGGGTTTGGCCAACGAGAGTCCCCAGCAGCTCGGCCCCTTTATCATCATGGACTTTGTAGAGGGCACTCTGGCCTCGAGAATCCTCCAAAAACCAACCGATGATGAGCAGCAAGAAATAATGCTGAATCCGGACCTGGACAGTTTCGTGCTGGATAAGTTCTACCGGCAGGCGGCCGGGTACTTACTCCAGTTATCTCGACTCGAGTTCAAGCGCATTGGTGCTATTTCAAAAGAGCTTGGAGATGGTGGGTGGTCCTCCTCCAGGAGGCCCCTCACATACAACATGAACGAACTGGCGACGTCTGCAGGCTACCCGACAGACGACTTTCCTACCGCGAGCTTTGCCCACGCTAGCGACTTCTTCAAGCACGTGGCCCATGAGCACCTGACGCACCTACACACCCAGCGAAACCTCGCGGCCAGCCCCGAGGTCGCTCGCGCTCGCTATATCGCCCGGCATCGCTACCTTCAGCTCGTCGATCACTACTGCAGCGCCGAAGACGACGCGGGCCCTTTCATACCATTCTGCGACGATTTCCGGCCAGCAAACATGCTTGTGAACCCCAAGACGTTAGAGATCACGGCCGTGCTCGACTGGGAGTTCACTAACGCTATGCCCGCGCAGTTTTCGTACGACCCGCCCTGGTGGCTACTGCTGGCCGACCCCGGCAGCTGGGTCGATCGTAACGCGGTGCAGGATTTCCGAGACCTCTACGAGCCTCGGATGGAGCAGTTCCTTCGAGCGCTCGAGGCGGTGGAGGGAGAAGAACGCTGGGACGATCGCGGACACGACCGGCGGCTCTCGGTGCGGATGCGTAGATCGTGGGAGACCGGTCGGTTCTGGTTCAACTTCGCGTCTCGAAAGAGTTATGATGTCGACACGATCTACTGGAGGGTGCTACACGACGGTGGCGACGCAGCCGAGCTGCTCGACCCAGAGGTGCGCGCCGAAATGGATGCAGAGGTGGAGAAGATGACGCAGCTCCGAGAGTACAGGGAGGAATGCGCCGTACGTTTCCCTGTTGAGAAAGTCAACGAGAGGGAGTAACCGGCCGAGTATCCGGCTAGTGTTCCGGATTTATAGGAGCATCGCGACAGCTTCATCCTGCAGAGCATCACACGAAGCCGTCACAGACCTAGCAGCCACGGCCCAGCTCGATCTTGACGAGAAAGAGACTGCCGACGAGTTCGTCGATTGCAGCCAAGTCGCGGTTGTCGGCCCACCCGAGCCACTCCAGTTCGAGATGGAGGCGGCCGGGCTCATGAGCGAGTTTCCCTGCATCGTCATCCGCGGCATCTCCGACTACGCTGACTCTCACAAGAACGACGAGTGTCACCATTTCGCAGCGGCGGCAGCCGCTGCGTGCGCCAAGGAGCTGCTCTCTTACTTGGATCCCGAGGAGTTCTCCCCTGCACCGACGGACTCTGCGGGGGCAACCAGCGGTGGACCGGCCGGGCATGTGTTCCACGGCACCGGTATCCAGCATTCAGGCGCGGGCAGCTTCTCGGTCGGCAGGGACCTGCGCATCGGGTGAACAGACGGAGAAATGTATTCTGACTTGGTACCACTGGGTTTCATCCTTCAGACGATAGTAGTTCCTCCCCGGGACGGCCCGACAGTCGTACCCCACCAAGGCGATGGCCCGTGATTGACTAAGCACCACTCCACTGGATCGCGGGGTAGTGTGATACCTGTCAACCTAAAAACATTCATCTCGTCGTGGCTTATTTCGCTCAGTGCAAGTCTGCGAAATGTAGTCCTGTAGACACAGCTGCGTGCGTCTCCGCATGCGCTGCGAGGACTCGCGACAAACGTGACAGGGACTTGGCGAATGCTCGTACCCGCTGCGATTGGTTGTCGCCATGCAGACGCCGTCGCTGGATCAGGCTGCGCCGGCTGCCCCAGCGCCAACTGCCGCAGATGGCTCCCTGATCGGTCATCTCGCATCCCAAAAGCTATCCACATCTCCATAACGAAGGAGACGGCCAAGTTCGAAACCATGCCAGTCCACCGCGACAGCTCCCGTGATGCGAGTGCCTGGGCCGAGTTCCGCGGCCACGGCATCCAGCACTCGGGCGCCGGAGGTTTCACTGCGCGGGACATCTATATCGGTACGTTGCCGCCCCGCCGCGCCGTTCCTAGCTGACCGACTGCAAAGGAGCCGCATCCGACCAACTGCTCGCCGACCTGCGCGTGACCGACCCACGCCACGACAAGCAGCGCATCGAGACCACCAAGGGCGGCCTCCTCGAGGACTCGTACCGCTGGATCCTCGGCCACCGCGACTTCCTGCGATGGCGCGACGATCCGCACACACGCCTGCTGTGGGTCAGGGGCGACCCGGGCAAGGGCAAGACGATGCTCCTTTGCGGCGTCGTCGACGAGCTCGAGAAGGCATCCCCAACGGCGCCCCCGGCCGCGTACTTCTTCTGCCAGGCCACCGACGAGCGTCTCAGCAGCGCGACGGCCGTGCTGCGCGGCCTCCTCTACATGCTCGTCCGTCAGCACCCTCCCCTCATCTCCTACCTGCAGGAAGAGTACAGGCACGCGGGCAGGCGCCTCTTCGAGGATGTCAACGCTTGGTCCGCCATGTCGCAGGCGCTCACGGCCATGCTGGCCGACCCCGCCTTGGAGGGCAAGATCCTCGTCATCGACGCCCTCGACGAGTGCGTGACGGACATGCAGCGGCTTCTCGGCTTCATCTCGACGACGTCCCACGCCAAGTGGATTGTTTCGAGCCGCAACTGGCCGGCCATCGAGCAGACGCTGGACGGCACGGCGTCCAGCGTCGGCCTGCGTCTCGAGCTGAACGCAAACTCCATTGCCGCTGCCGTGCGGGCGTACGTTCAACACAAAGTGAGTCAACTGACGCGGCTCAAGAAGTACGATGGCCCCACCCGCGATGCCGTGCAGAAGCACCTCATCGACAACTCCGACGACACCTTCCTCTGGGTGGCCTTGGTCTGTCAAGAGCTCGCTAGCCGGGAGGTCCGAAAGCGACACACCCTCAGCGTCCTCGAGACGTTCCCGCCTGGCCTGGGGCCTCTGTACCAGCGCATGATGGACCACATCGCCGACTCGAGAGACGCAGAGGCTGTGCAGAGAGGTCCTGGCCGCTATCTCGGTCGTGTATCGCCCTGTCACGACACAGGAGCTCACCCACATCATTCGGTCGGCGCACCGTTTCGGCGACGACCCTGAGGCCCTTGCAAGAGATCATCGCGTCCTGCGGCTCGTTCCTCACGCTGCGCCATGGGACTGTCTTTTTCGTGCATCAGTCGGCGAAGGACTTCCTGCTGGGGCAGGCTTCTATACGGATCCTTCCATCCGGGATCGCAGACCAGCACCGCGCCATCTTCTCCAAGTCCCTGGAGGTCCTGACCCGCCAGCTCAGACGCGACATCTATGACCTGCGCGCCCCCGGCGTCCTCATCGGCGAAATCTCCCCGCCCGACCCGGATCCGTTGGCCCCTCTCGAGTACGCCTGCGTCCACTGGGTCGACCATCTGCGCGACTCAAAATTCGCGAACAGCTCGGGACACAGTGCCCTGCGGGACTGTGAGATCATTTCCGCCTTTCTCCAAAGGAAGTTCCTCCACTGGCTGGAGGCTCTAGGTCTCCTACGCAGCCTATCGCAAGGAGTACTGGCCGTGCAGAGCCTTGAGGCGCTCGTGGTACGTCCGGACGGCCGAGTATAAGCACCCTTGATAGGCAGAAAGTAGCTAACACGCACAGACAAGCACGGGAACGCGCCGACTAGCCGACTTTGTCCGAGACGCCCGTCGATTCGTTCTATCGCACAGGGCAGTTGTGGAGATGGCTCCGCTACAGGTGTACCTGTCGGCCCTCGTGTTTAGCCCGAGGGGTAGCATCGTGAGGCAGCTGTACGAAGGTGAGGCGCGGGCGTGGATGAGGGTGATGCCACCAATGGCAGCGGATTGGAGCGCATGTCTGCAGACGCTCGAGGGCCATCGCGTCTTCGTCAGTTCGGTGGCCTTCGCACGTGATGGGCGGCACCTAGCGTCGGGGTCCCAGGACACGACCGTCAAGGTCTGGGATACGGCGACGGGCGCGTGTACGCAGACGCTTAAGGGCCATGGCGGCGCCGTCAACTCGGTGGCCTTCGCAGCCGATGGCCGGCGCCTCGCGTCAGGGTCCCGCGATAAGACCGTCAAGGTCTGGGATACGGCGACGGGCGCATGTCTACAGACGCTCGAGGGCCATGGCGGCGCCGTCAGCTCGGTGGCCTTCGCACGTGATGGGCGGCACCTAGCGTCGGGGTCCCAGGACACGACCGTTAAGGTCTGGGATACGGCGACGGGCGCGTGTACGCAGACGCTCGAGGGCCATGACGGCGATGTCAGGTCGGTGGCTTTCGCACCCGATGGCCGGCGCCTCCTAACGAACCGTGGTATCTTTCGCCTCGACTCGTATACCACGGATGGCCTGGGTCCGGACGGCCTTGCCCAGGGGCCATACGAGCCCTACAAAACCTCCGCCCCTTCTACTCAGAGGTATCATATCGGTCGCGATAACACCTGGATCATGAGAGACAACTTTAGGTTGCTGTGGCTTCCTCTAGAGTATCGGCCGAGTACAACCGCAGTGACTGGACCAAGTGTCGCGCTAGGCTGTCGGTCGGGACGAGTACTTTGCATGACTTTCTCGACGTGGCAGACGGGGATCTAGATGGCCAGTCGCCATCTTCAAGCGATACCGGGTATCCGAAGTCTCTGTTTGTTCAACGAAACATCCTTACTTTCTTTTTTCAAAGACGACGAGGCGGGAGAAATACATCGGCGAGCACTAGAGGGCCGCGAGAAGAGAGAGGCAGAGAGACAGAGGAGCGCTAAGGCCTCCCGAGGGGCATGCGGCGTGCAGAAGACTATCAGTACCTACATACATTCCTCCGACAGAAGGCTGCATCGGGTCTCCGAGTATCCTGCAAATCAAGCCCAGTGGCAGCTGTGAGAAGGTGTACCGCGCCCGTTGCCCCCGCCGTTTGAGCTCGTGTTCGGTTTGTGGCTCGGTTGCAGTTTGTGCTGTAGCCTGTTTGGCATCAGAGAGAGGCCTTGTGGATACTTGGCGGGGTGCGTCCGGTTGCTATATTTGTATTGTAGAAGTGAAAGAGCGTAGAGGGAAGAGTAGTCACCGCTTGTGCCACATCCGCGTCGAGAGTCTTCAAGCCGCTTTGGCAAGCCTTCCGCGACGTCTCAAGGGGCCCCAGTCGGAGAGACGCCCTGGCTTCGACTTGTTCACTCTCCCAGCTGAAGCGCACGCGCATGTGGCATCACTCTTCCCCGCGAGCTTTACGCCCACAATCTCGAACATCAGGCCGGGCGCCGTTCGCTTCCGTCAAGAAACAATGAATGGTTGCTAACCTGTCTTTACCAGTTCCCACCTTTTCAGAGAGCTTTGGACGTGATGCAACGTTGAGCTCGGTACCTAAACGGAACGCAGAGCAGGAAGCAGGGTGCATTGTGGGCCAGACCAATCGGCCCCCGACAGGTGAGGGCACTTGGCAGTGCCTGTGCTCCATAGCACACGATGCACACCGTTTGGAACCACCGTTTCCATTTTCGTTTGCACAATATGCACAAAAGCTTGCTTAGCGACTTTCAACTGAGGCGTGGCTGAGCTTGGACTGAGCCGAGCCTGAGCAAGAGCGACAAGTACGCTAGTCCTAATTTGGGAAGCAACCCAGCTGTGGTAAAACCTGGAACCTAGGAAAGGCAAATCCAGGGGTAAAGTAAGCACCGTGCCCTATTGCCTTAGGTAATAAGGTACAACATAAAGCACTTATTCATATAACAATTGATTAGTTACACAGCTCCAGTCCAGTACTCGTACAAAGTTCACCACGTACTCCGTTAGCAAAACAACCCGCTAAAACCAAGAAGATAGAGATGCTCGGATGGAAATATAAGGATACCTAGTTCTAAGGAAGTGTGTTTAGCGTATATCTAGATAAGGTAGTCAAGGATTGACTAGAAGAACAAAAAGAGGTGATGGCGCGAAGTATCTATACTGCGTAAACCTCGGGCGTTATAGAAACCATAGCGAAAAGGTAAAGCAAGATAATCGGAGGTTGTCCTCCAGAGCACGACTGATATTTGACCAAGGTAGGTACCTATACCTTATTGAACTGTATCCGTATCCTCTGTAGAGATACATCTCCCCATATCAAAAACAAGAATCTGGAGGAAGCCAGCAAGCATCTTTATTGTCAAGCATTTGCTCCTCAATCTTCGGGTTCCCGCCGTACTCTTTACTTCTCCCAAGACTATGGAAAAACCGCCGAAGCACAAGAAATGCAATATAAGGTAATTGCCGAATATACATCGTACTACATACGCCATGCTGACTTGTTCTCTTTTTATCAACGTACCCCAGTTGGCAATTATCCTACAATTCGTCTACTTCGTGTCAGCTTGATCCATTGTCGCTGCTATGAGCAAGGACTTCTACTTCGTAGCAGCCCTGGAAACGGGGAGTACACGCTGCAGGAATCAGTAGTAAAAGAAGTCCTTAGGAGCCCAAGAAGGATTAGATACGCCTTCGAGAGACAAAATACAGGCACGTGTAATTTTTAAAAGTAAGTCCATCCTAAAAACCAGCGAAGCTGCAAGGTGTGAAAGTGCTTCGTGCTAAACCGGCCAACGGAATCATACAGGTACTTCGGAATGCTTCATGCATCGATAAGGTATAAATTGTACACGGACGTAATGCGCTTTGCATCGGTACCTTAGGGAGTATTACCTAAGGTAGGTACCTTACCTTATATAATAAGGTACTTAACTCGATGTGCCAAAATGCTTGTGAATACGGCCCCACAACTGACCGCCTCCACTCAAAGTCACTTTGGTACGGAGAACGTTAAACCAAAGCACCTATGTACCTCCTACGCCTTACTCTGTACCTACCTAGGTACTAATACAACGTATTACCAATACATTCTCTGCATCCCAATGGGCGTCACCGAAACAACCCCATCCGGCAATCCATCTCTTCACCTGCCAACTTCACATTCACCTTCACCTTCACCTTTTCCTCTTCCTCTTCCTCTTCCTCCCCACAGCCACGACTTTTCTGGCAACAACTTGGAATCTCGTGCGAAAGGCGATGACAACACAGCCGATAATGGCGCAAAAATGTCGCTGATGCCTTGTCACGACCAGAAACCCTAACCTTTTGTCATCGTGCTTGGAAACCTCCGATTTTTGGAACAACCCCGAGCAAAGACGAAACAGTATCTGTACGGATCTTTCTCGCCAGTTCTCCCGCAGTGTGCGGCTCCTTGTCCCATGCCGATCCCAAGTCGACCACCATGTCGCTTTCCAATTCTTCTAGCCTGCGCGTCAACGGGAACGGGAACAGGAACAGGAACGGGGCGTCAGCTCAACCTCTAGACGACCCAAAACCTCTCCAGCAGCGTCCCAAATCCCCCCTCAGCCAGGCCCAACGATCCAACACCTTCAACACACACCATACCCGCCGCCAGTCTTTTGATAATCGCCCTTCAAGTGCGCCAGGCGACGATGCCCAGCAGCAGAATAATCCTAGTAATTGTAATGCTCTCGCCTTGAGAAGCCACCGCGACTCGACTTCCGAGACGACCAAGACCCAGCGACCCCCCAAGCCTCCTTTGCTGCGTTCCAAGAGTGAGAACAGAGTGCGCCGCGTTGGTGAGAATAAGAAAGAAGAGGAAGATGAAATCCTGCAGTGGGGAGCTAGACACGGCTTTGAGGAGCACTATGAGTCGCAGCAGTTCATGGATAAACTGGCCAATGTGAGTTTGCTTTGTCTTTTGTCTTTTGCATTTTGCCTTTTGCATTTTGCCTTTTGCCTTTTGCCTTTTGCCCTCGCAACTCCCACACTTCCCCGAATCCGCGTCAAAAGATCTGCTGACATAGCCCCTATCAGAACTGGTATATGTACTGGACCGACAAGCGACACGAGACGACGGGAAAACCCAAAGCCCCAACCCACGAGCTTCAGGACTGGCGCATGAGAGATCGCCTCAAGACGGTGTCTGCCGCTCTTGCCGTCTGCCTGAACATCTCCGTCGAGCCTCCGGATCAGCTTAGGACCAATCCGGGAGCGAAGCTGGAGGCCTGGATCGACCCCTTCCAGTCCCCTCCCCAAAAAGCCCTGGAAAACATCGGCAAGGCCCTCCAGTCCCAGTATGAGACCCTCGCGATCCGAACGCGCTACAAGCAGTATCTCGATCCGTCCGTCGAGGAAACCAAAAAGTTCTGCATCTCGTTGCGGAGGAACGCCAAGGACGAACGCGTCTTGCTCCACTACAACGGTCACGGTGTGCCGAAGCCGACGTCCAGCGGCGAGATTTGGGTCTTCAACAAGAACTACACCCAGTACATACCCGTGTCGCTATACGACCTGCAGCACTGGCTGCAGGCCCCTACCATGTTCGTTTGGGACTGCTCCGAGGCCGGCAACATCTTGAACAACTACCATCGCTTCGTCGAGAAGCATGAGCAGGAGGAAGAGGAAAACGCGGCCCGGGACCCCAACTACGAGAAGACCGCCTTCCGACCGTACATTCACCTTGCCGCCTGCGGCGTGAAAGAGAACCTCCCCACCAACCCGCTGCTCCCTGCCGACCTCTTCACGTCCTGTCTCACCACCCCCATCGAAATGGCCCTCTGGTTCTTCGTCCTCCAGAACCCGCTCAAGACCAACCTCACGCCCGAGAGGGCCAAGAAGCTCCCCGGCCGCCTTCAGGAGAGGAGGACCCCGCTGGGCGAACTGAACTGGATCTTCACCGCCATCACCGACACCATCGCCTGGACCACATTACCCCGCCACCTGTTCCGGAAGTTCTTCAGGCAAGACCTCATGGTCGCCGCGCTGTTCAGGAACTTCCTGCTGGCGCAGCGCATCATGTCCGTCTACGGCTGCCACCCCCAATCCTACCCGGAGCTGCCGGATACCCGGCAGCACCCCCTGTGGGCGAGCTGGGACCTGGCCGTAGACATGGCCCTGGCCCAGCTGCCCATGCTGGAGAGGAAGGAGAGCGAAGGGATCGAATACGAATACCAGAACTCGACCTTCTTCACCGAGCAGCTGACGGCCTTCGAGGTCTACCTGGCCAGGGGAGACGCCATGGCCCAGAAACCGCCCGAGCAGCTCCCTGTCGTTCTCCAGGTGCTTCTTAGTCAGCAGCACCGCGTGCGAGCACTGATCTTGCTGGGCAGCTTCTTAGACCTCGGCCCATGGTCGGTGCAGCTTGCGCTGAGCATAGGCATCTTCCCATACGTATTAAAGCTCTTGCAGTCGGCCGCGGCCGAGCTGAAGCCGGTCATGGTGTTCATCTGGACCCGCATCCTGGCCGTGGACATCTCTTGCCAGCAGGATCTTATCAAGGACAACGGCTACAACTACTTCACCGCCATCCTCAAGCCTGCCGAATCTCTGCCCGTTGCCAACAGCGACGAGCACAAGGCCATGTGCGCCTTCATCCTGGCCATGTTGTGCAGGGGTTATAAGCCCGGCCAACAGGTGTGCAACCAGACCGAGATTATGACGTATTGTCTCACACATCTTCAACACCAGGAGAACCCGCTGCTGCGACAATGGGCCTGTCTCTGTCTCAGCCAGCTGTGGCATGATTTGCCCGAAGCCAAATGGCGGGGCATCAGGGAGAACGCTCCGAGCAAGCTATCTTGTCTGGCCAAGGACCGGTGCCCGGAAGTGAGGGCCGCCATGTTGCATGCCATGACCACCTTCATCGGCGTCATCGACCTGACGGACGAGGTGGCACGCATCGAGGAGTCGATTGCCTGGACCTTGCTCGACATGGCCAACGACGGCAGTCCCACAGTCCGGCGCGAATTCCTCGTCTTCTTATCCCATTTCATCCTCCGCTTCGAGAATAAGTTTATCGTGGCCGCCTTTGAGCAGTTGCAGGAAGAAAAAGAATACGTCTTGTTCCCCCCAGACGACGACGGCACGGAACACAAGATGGGCCTTCACTATGCGCGCCAGGAGAATCGCAATGCGGACGGGACCATCAGGGCCGCTGCGCACGGTTTCGCCCACAACACCGTCTTCGCAGCGTGCTGGAAACATGCTCTGCTGCTCAACGTCGACCCCCACCCCGAAGTGCAACGCGACGCCGCCGCGGTCGTGGACTACGTGCACAATGCCGTGCTCGCGTCTCCTATCGGGGCGCAAGCGCAGGCGCTCATGGACGAGATACGCAGAAAGGCGAGGCCGTCGTCGGACAGGAGCCACCACCAGCAGGCTGCGACGCAGCGGAATCACGCACAGAGCGGTGGTGGCGGCGGTGGTGGTGGTGGTGGTGGCGCGACGCGATCCTCGGCCGCCGCGGCATCACTGCCAAACCCGGGCCTTTTCCGCAGGACGGCGAGTTACTTGTTCACCGGCATGTTCGGCGGCATCGACGGCACCACCATGACCGACGCGAACAAGCGGGCAGGTCAGCCGTGGCAAGCACCGGCGTCGTCGCCCGGTCATCGGAACCAGACGACGAGAGGAGCACGCAGACTCGGGGGGGGGCCCGACTCGTCGGCGGCATCGTCGCCACCGCAGATGGATCCAGCGGCAGGTCACGCGAGGTACCACACGGCGGGCGAACCGGTGTCGGGAGGCTACGAGGACAAGCAGCAGGCCAGGGAAGCGGGAGGAGCGGCGACGCTTCCGGTGCGCAGCACGTTCTTCGATTGGTCGGTGGAATATTTCCGCGAGCCGCAGATGAAGCCGAGCGAGTCGGACGAGCCCGGCAGCACGGAATACAACGAGCGGCTCTGGAGGCGGTCTCGCAACGAGGCGATCCTGCAAGAGACGCAGCCTCTCAAGCAGTACGCCGGCAGCCACAAGTGGGACAAGCCGATCCGGCTCCTCAACAACGGGGCGCAGCCGTCCAAGCTGACGTTCCACCAATTCGAAGACCACCTCGCGGTGGCGGACAACGGGAACACGGTGACGATGTGGGACTGGAAGAAGCAGATGCGGCTCAGCCGGTTCTCCAACGGCAACCCGGAAGGGTCGGTGATCTGCGACGTCAAGTTCATCAACGAGGAGGACCAGGGCTTCCTGATGACGGGGTCGTCGGACGGGGTGCTCCGGGTGTACCGGGGGTACGACGCGGACGAGGAGGTGGAGCTGGCGTCGTCGTGGCGGGCGCTCACGCACATGGTGCCGAGCACGGTGAACTCGGGCATGGTGTTCGACTGGCAGCAGGCGACGGGGCGGGTGCTGGTGGCGGGCGACGTGCGGGTGATCCGGGTGTGGTCGGCGGCGTCGGAGACGTGCATCATGGACATTCCGGCGCGGTCCGGGTCGTGCGTGACGTCGCTGACGTCGGACCAGATGACGGGCAACACGCTGGTGGCCGGGTTCGGGGACGGGGCGGTCCGGGTGTTCGACACGCGCCTCAAGGTGCAGGAATCGATGGTGAAGAAGTGGAGGGACGAGACGGATCGGCAGTGGATCAAGAGCGTGCACATGCAGCGGGGCGGGCAGCGGGAGCTGCTCAGCGCGAGCTGTAACGGCAAGGTCAAGCTGTGGGATATTCGGATGGACAAGCCGCTTCGTACGTTCCGGACGACGAGGGATCCGAGGGATACCTTGCGAACGGCCAGCACACACGAGCACCTGCCGGTGTTTGCTGTGTAAGTCTCTTTTTCTTCTTATTC